AACCCCAGACCACGGTTTCAAGCTCCCCGTCCTGCCAACCCCAGGACCACGGTTCAAGCTCCCCGTCCTGCCAACCCCAGGACCACGGTTCAAGCTCCCCGTCCTGCCAACCCCAGGACCACGGTTCAAGCTCCCCGTCCTGCCAACCCCAGGACCACGGTTCAAGCTCCCCGTCCTGCCAACCCCAGGACCACGTTCAAGCTCCCCGTCCTCCCAAACCCCCAGGACCACGGTTCAAGCCCCCCGTCCTGCCAACCCCAGGACCACGTTCAAGCTCCCCGTCCTGCCAACCCATAGACCACGGTTCAAGCTCTTCCTCCTGCCAACCCCAGAACCACGGTTCAAGCTCCCCTTTCCGCCAACCCCAGGCCCAAACCGGTTCAAGCCCCCGTCCTGCCAACCCCAGGACCAGGGTTCAAGCGCCCCCGTCCTGCCAACCCCAGGACCACGGTTCAACTCCCCGTCCTGCCACCCCAGACCACGGTACAAGCACCCCGTGTGCCAACCCCCAGACCACGGTTCAAGCTCCCCGTCCTGCCAACCCCAGGACCACGTTCAAGCCCCCGTCCTGCAACCCCAGGACCACGGTTCAACTCCCCGTCCTCCCAAACCCCCAGACCACGGTTCAAGCTCCCCGTCCTGCCAACCCCAGGACCACGGTTCAAGCTCCCCGTCCTGCCAACCCCAGGACCACGGTTCAAGCTCCCCGTCCTGCCAACCCCAGGACCACGTTTTCAAGCTCCCCCGTCCTGCCAACCCCATACCACGGTTCAAGCCCCCGCCCCTGCCAACCCCAGGACCACGGTTCAAGCTCCCCGTCCGCCAATCCAGGACCACGGTTCAAGCTCCCCGTCCTGCCAACCCCAGGACCACGGTTCAAGCTCCCCGTCCTGCCCACCCCAGGACCACGGTTCAAGCTCCCCGTCCTGCCAACCCCAGGACCACGGACAAGCACCCCGTCCGGGCCAACCCCAGACCAAGGGTTCAAGCTTCCCGTCCTGCCAACCCCAGGACCACGATACAAGCTCCCCGTCCTGCCAACCCCAGGACCACGGTTCAAGCACCCCGTCCCGCCAACCCCAGGACCACGGTTCAACTCCCCGTCCTGCCAACCCCAGGACCACGGTTCAAGCTCCCCGTCCTGCCAACCCCAGGACCACGGTTCAAGCTCCCCGTCCTGCCAACCCCAGGACCACGGTTCAAGCTCCCCGTCCTGCCACCCGGGACCACTTTTCAAGCCCCGTCCGCCAACCCCAGACCAGGGTTTTCAAGCTCCCCTCCTGCCAACCCCAGACCACGGTTCAAGCTCCCCGTCCTGCAACCCCAGGACCACGGTTTCAAGCCCCCCGTCCTGCCAACCCCAGGACCACGGTTCAAGCTCCCCCCCCTGCCAACCCCAGGACCAGGGTTCAAGCTCCCGTCCGGGCCAACCCAGGACCACGGTTCAAGCTCCCCTCCTGCCAACCCCAGACCAGGGTTCAAGCTCCCCGTCCGCCAACCCCAGGCCCACGTTTCAAAGCTCCGCCTCCTGCCAACCCCAGACCACGGTTCAAGCTCCCCGTCCTGCCAACCCCAGGACCACGGTTCAAGCTCCCCGTCCTGCCAACCCCAGGACCACGGTTCAAGCTCCCCGTCCTGCCAACCCCAGGACCACGGTTCAAGCTTTTTCCGTCCTGCCAACCCCCAACCACGGTTCAAGCTCCCCGTCCTGCCAACCCCAGGACCACGGTTCAAGCACCCCGTCCTGCCAACCCCAGGACCACGGTTCAAGCACCCCGTCCTGCCAACCCCAAGACCACGGTTCAAGCACCCTGTCCTGCCAACCCCAGGACCACGGTTCAAGCTCCCCGTCCTGCCAACCCCAGGACCACGGTTCAAGCTCCCCGTCCTGCCAACCCCAGGACCACGGTTCAAGCTCCCCGTCCATATTCCTGTTTACTCACATTCTTACATATTTAATTATCTACATGTTTACGTATTTACTTTCGTATATTTATTTAAGGATCTCAAAGTTTGCCAGTTGCCAGTAAAACACAACACGTACCTGACTTGACTCAAGAAATCGTAATGACACGATTGCAAATAAACCATACCCGCGACGGGCTGGAGTTTTGAGACTCTATGACCGCGGGTTCAATCCCGGCCGGGGGTATGTTTTTTTTTGTACCTTACTTGTTCTTTAATACAATATTTTTATCACATCAAGCAACTTTTGGGTGATTATAAAGACTTGTTTTATAGATATGTAATTAATTAATTAATTAATGCGGTGAGGAAGAAATTGTTTAGTCTCTGGCTCGACAGAAACAAAACATGGCTGAACTTCAGAACCGGTATTAGTGACGGGCAGATTTGCTGACTCATGCATTGAGGAGTTTGGCTCTATTGGTGTTTAGGCCTGGGGTCAACATGACCTAAAATCTTTTGCGCCGACCCTGGTGGGGTGTAGACGTCTCGCTCTACTCTAAGTCATCAATAGTCCTTTGAGCAATTGGTAGGGGGGGGGGGACCATATACTAGCTATTTCTTGGCCGATGTTAAGCCTGTTGTTGTTGACTCAGGTTGGGTATACGTACTCTCCTATATGTGATTTGCAGGGATCGATTCTCAGCTCCTGGCCCCGCTTCTTCCCTAGCCGCCACTGAGTTCACTTTCCTGGATTCGAGAGTCTTATCGTACCTATTCTTATGCTATGTATGGAACCTGCCCCCTCAACTCCACTGTCCAGATCATTCCATTTCTTGACCACTCTGAGGTGGATGAAAATCTTCCTAAAATCCCTGTGGCTCATCTGTGTCTTCAACTTCCAGTTGTACCCTCGGCTTCCTGTTTCCCACCTCTCGGACAGTTTGTCCCTTCACATCCTATTAATTCCTCTTACCAGATACGCATTTGCTGCAGCAGTTATTCGGTTGATATGCGCCTCAGGTGATATGCTCGGTACATTGCTCACCCCGAGGTCCTTCTTTGAGTGAAGTTTGCAGCTTATACCTTCAGAGCCTGGAATCCATATGTGGTCTTCTTTGCCCATTAGATTCTTCATAACTTTGCACATGCAGGGGCTGAATTCTAGTAGTCAAGTGTCAGATCAGATCTGCAGCCTGTCCAGGTCCATTTGAAGTCTTTCCAAGTTCTCACCTGTTTGTATTCTCATTAGTTTCACATCATTTGTGAACAGGTATACCCCTGCCTCTATCCCCACTGTCATGTCGTTCACATGTCCAAGAAATAGTACCTGTCCTTGCACTGATTCTTTTAAAACCCCATTCGTAACGTGGTACTCACCTATTTGTGGTTGCAGGGGCTCGAGTCATAGCTCCTGGCCCCGCCTCCTCACTAGTCGCTACTAGGTCCATTCTCTCCTTTCTCCATGAGCTTTATCGAGCCTCCATGTATGATACTTGTACATATGTGGTTACCATGTATGATACTTGTACATATGTGGCTACCATGTATGATACTTGTATCTATGTGGTTACCATGTATGATGCTTGTACCTATGTAGTTACCATGTATGATGCTTGTACCTATGTAGTTACCATGTATGATACTTGTACCTATATGGTTACCATGTATGATACTTGTACCTATGTGGTTACCATATATGATGCTTGTACCTATGTAGTTACCATGTATGATGCTTGTACCTATGTAGTTACCATGTATGATGCTTGTACCTATGTAGTTACCATGCATGATACTTGTACATATGTGGTTACCATGTAAGATACTTGTACCTATATGGTTACCATGTATGATGCTTGTTCCTATGTAGTTACCATGTATGATACTTGTACCTATGTGGTTACCATGTATGATACTTGTACCTATGTGGTTATCATGTATGATACTTGTGCCTACATGGCTACCATGTATGATACTTGTACCTATATGGTTACCATGTATGATGCTTGTGCCTATGTAGTTACCATGTATGATACTTGTACCTATATGGTTACCATGTATGATACTTGTACCTATGTGGTTATCATGTATGATACTTGTACCTACATGGCTACCATGTATAATACTTGTACCTATGTGGTTACCATGTATGATACTTGTACCTATGTAGTTACCATGTATGATATTTGTACCTATGTGGTTACCATGCATGATACTCGTACCTATGTAGTTACCATGTATGATACTTGTACCTTTGTATTTACCATGGCCCGGTGGCCTGGTGGCTAAAGCTCCCGCTTCACACACGGAGGGCCCGGGTTCGATTCCCGGCGGGTGGAAACATTTCGACACGTTTCCTTACACCTGTTGTCCTGTTCACCTAGCAGCAAATAGGTACCTGGGTGTTAGTCGACTGGTGTGGGTCGCATCCTGGGGGACAAGATTAAGGACCCCAATGGAAATAAGTTAGACAGTCCTCGATGACGCACTGACTTTCTTGGGTTATCCTGGGTGGCTAACCCTCCGGGGTTAAAAATCCGAACGAAATCTTATCTTATGTATGATACTTGTACCTATGTAGTTACCATGTATGATACTTGTACCTATGTGGTTACCATGTATGATACTTGTACCTATGTAGTTACCATGTATGATACTTGTACCTATGTGGTTACCATGTATGATACTTGTACCTACGTGGTTACCATGTATGATACTTGTACCTATGTAGTTACCATGTATGATACTTGTACCTATGTAGTTACCATGTATGATACTTGTACCTATGTGGTTACCATGTATGATACTTGTACCTATGTAGTTACCATGTATGATACTTGTACCTATGTGGTTACCATGTATGATACTTGTACCTATGTGGTTACCATGTATGATACTTGTACCTATGTGGTTACCATGTATGATACTTGTACCTATGTGGTTACCATGTATGATACTTGTACCTATGTAGTTACCATGTATGATACTTGTACCTATATAGTTACCATGTATGATACTTGTACCTATGTGGACCCATACCTAAATAATAATAACTCCCGGACAGTAGGCCTCACTAAGTCACGAGCTTTAATGATCCCTTAACAACTCCACAACAACAACAAAACATGGCCGAGGCTCTACCATGCGACTTCGACTCTTGGCTCAAAAACACTCTAGTTATTTTAAATACAGATGACGAAGTCTTCAGTCCCTACATCAAAGGCATATTAGAAGGTGATGAAACGACCGAGGAGAAGCTTGAAGCCTTACAAGGAATATTAACGGAAATAACGGTTTGTACAAGACCAGTAAATGGTTGGCTTCCTTAATTAAGTGATAATAATAATAATAATCTTTGTTTCTACAGGTACATGTACAAGGTATACAGATCATAACTGACATCAGTGACATACTACTGTATAGAAAACTCCTTGTTATGCAGAGCATTTTGGCAAATTAGGTTAATTTTGTCCCCAGGATGCGACCCACACCAGTCGACTAACACCCAGGTACCTACTTACTGATAGGTGAACATGGACAGCAGGTGTCTTAAGGAAACACGTCCTAATGTTTAAACTCGTACCAGAGATCGAACCACGGACCTCAGTGTGTGAGCTGAGTGCGTTAGCAAGGTTAGGTAAGCTTTGTCAGGAAACAGGACAAGTGTTTCCTGACGTGGGTTTTAGTCATGATGACCCACAGTTGGAGCTTTTGGTCATCTGACTGAGGCCTTCCACTTGCTTACCCCTCCACCCCTTTATATTTTTTGGTTACAAAAATTATAATCATTAGATGTTATTTAAGTTTATTTTGGCACAAAGTACACATAAGTATAATTATCATACATAGTGTAAATTACCCACCAGGATAACCCCAAAAAATTCAGGCAAAGTGACTTATTTCCATTGGGATCCTTATATTTTAAACTATTATTTTATTCCTCTTGATGGGAGATTTCTTGATGCCAGTGAGGGACTCTTGAACCAAGAAACTGGATTTATGTTCCCTTTTCTTCGATCGAACCAGAATGACTCGCTCTCCCCAGGTACTTAAACTATTGTGCTAAACCATCATTGTATAACCCATGATGGTTTAGTGCTCACTTTTTGACTATAACCATGATTGTTGATACAGTATATTTATAGTACTGGGCATTAATTATGCTATTTAGGAACCGAGTCACAGCTAAAAAAATCACCGTTCAACCTATTTTCATCTTTTCTTATCTCATTGTACAAAGTTTTTTTTTGTTGCAGTAGTGTATGACCCTTTCAAGTTTAGTGCTTCAATTTATTTTTTTTACTATTACTGTTATTATTACTATTAGTTATTACTATTACTGTTGTTATTACTATTATTATTATTGTTACTATTGTTATTACTATTACTGCTGTTATTACTATTGCTGTTAATACTATTACTATTATTACTACTATTGTTAGTTACTATTATTACTGTTACTACTGTTATTACTATTATGGTTCTTATTACATATATATATTACTACTATTATTATTACTATTGCTGTTATTACTTTTAATACTATTACTATTATTACTACTATTGTTAGTTATTATTATTACTGTTGCTACTATTATTACTGTTACTACTGTTATTACTATTATTACTGTTACTATTGTTACTATTACTGCTGTTACTACTGTTATTACTATTGCTATTATTACTACTGTTATTACTATTGCTATTATTACTACTGTTATTACTATTGCTATTATTACTACTGTTATTACTATTGCTATTATTACTACTGTTATTACTATTGCTATTACTACTGTTATTACTATTACAATTGTTACTACAATTGTTGGTTACTATTATTACTATTACTGTTGTTATTACTATTACCATTGTTATTACTATTACTATTGTTATTACTATTACTATTGTTATTACTATTACTATTGTTATTACTATTACTATTGTTATTACTATTACTATTGTTATTACTGTTACTACTATTATTACTGTTACTACTATTATTACTGTTACTACTATTATTACTGTTACTACTATTACTACTGTTACTATTACTACTACTATTACTACTACTACTACTACTATTGTTAGTTGCTGCTATTATTATCACTACTGTTATTACTATTGCTATTATTACTGTTACTACTATTGCTATTATTACTATTACTACTATTGCTACTATTACTACTATTGCTCCTGTTATTACTATTACTATACTATTACTGCTATTACTATTATTGCTACTATTATTACTACTAGATTTACTACAGTACTGTTACTACTACTGTTATACTACATTCATCAAGCATCATCATCATCAATCATTAATTACTATGACTGTTACTACTGCTACCATAATTATTGATACATTCTGCGAGATGTCGACTTTCTGATGACATCCTAATTTTTTTCATGCTTTACAATTGATTGAGATCTCCAGACATACTTTTAAGCGCTTCAAAATGTGCATGAAATCAAGAAGGCTAAGGCAACTGAGAAAGACTTTGGGAAGGGGGAAAAAGGCTACCAAATATGTCTGCATACTTCCAAAGGCCTTTGTCTGTCTTTCAAATAATGTCCCCATGTCTCTCATCTCTGCCATGCAGCATTGAATGGCTCTTTGAGTTTAACATTTTCCATGAATGTAATACATTACATACTTATAATAATAGTTTATTTTATTAACACATCAGTTGATTCCCACCAAAGCAGGGTGGTCAGAAAAAGAAAAACTTTCATCATTCACTTTATCATTGTCTTGCCAGAGGCGTGCTTACACGACAGTTATAAAACTGCAACATTAACATTCCTCCTTTAGAGTGCAGACACTGTACTTCCCATCTCCAGGACTCGAGTCCGGCCTGCCGGTTTCCCTGAATCCCTTCATAAATGTTACTTTGCTCACACTCCAACAGCATGTCGGGTATTAAAAACCATTTGTCTCCATTCACTCCTATCAAATACGCTCATGCATGCTTGCTCGAGGTCCAAGCCCCCGCACACAAAACCTCCTTTACCCCCTCCCTTCAACCTTTCCTAGGCCAACCTCTACCCCGCCTTCCCTCCACCCTGCCTTCCCTCCACTATTTTGTTCCATCTTCTCTACATGTGCAAACCACCTCAGCAACCCCTCCTCAGCCATGTGGATAATAGTTTTGGTAATCCCACACCTCCTCCTAATTTCCAAACTATGAATTCTCTGCATTATATTCACAGCACACATTGCCCTCAGACATGACATCTCCACTGCCTCCAGCCTTCTCCTTGTTGCAATATTTACCACCCATGCTTCCCATCCATACAAAAGTGTTGGTTTAACTATACTCTTTTACATTCCCCTCTTTGGTTCCACAGACAAAGTTCTTTGTCTCCACAGACTCCTTAAATGCACCACTCATGATTCACCTCATCCTTCATAGACCCATCTGCTGACATGTCCACTCCCAAATATCTGAATACATTCACCTCCTCCATACTCTCTCCCTCCAATCTGATATCCAGTCTTTCGTCACTAATCTTTTTATTATCCTCATCACCTTACTCTTTCCTCTATTCACTTTTAATTTTCTTCTATTACATACCCTACCAAACTCATCCATCAACCTCTGCAACTTCTCTTCAGAATGTGCCAAAAAGCACAGTGTCATCAGCAAAGATCAACTGTGATAACTCCCACTTTGTTTTAGATTCTTTATCTTTTAACCCCACACTTCTTGCCCAGACCCACACATTCACTTCTCTTACAACCCCATCTATAAATATATTGAACAACCACGGTGACATCATATCACATAATAATACAGTAATATAATGCAATAGATAATGTCTTCACTTACTGTAATTCTTTCATACTGGTTTGTCATCTTTCTTGAAAGATATAAGTGAAGTGATTGCAACTAAAAAAATATATTTTAATCATTTGTCCTTAATTTCAGGAGAATGGAATAGATGACTTATGTCAAGACATTCTCAAGAAGTGGAATTTGAGAGAAGTCGATGGGCATACCGATGAGCCTCCTGTTAGGGTAAGAGTTCACTGTTTCAGTGTAACCAAGATACATTTTCCAATTGTTGTAAACTAGTAAATCACTATTTCTTGTTCATTGCTTGTCATGGGTAGGACTGTTTTGTAGACTACAAACTGTAGATCATAACTGCAGAAAAACAGGGTACTGTGCTGAAAAAATAACACTGTCAAATGTATGTAACAATTTATCCTGTCCTACCTAGGCCTAACCCAGGTACATTTTCCTAAAATATAAAAAAAAACAGCTTTACAAAATAGTTCAGCATTCAACCTGGTGGCAACTATATACTCAGCATTTGGAGCCTTGTGTGTTTTAAGGGAGTATTTACTTAGGTTTAGGTTTGACAAGATTGGTATTAGGTTAAATAAAGTTGGGTAAGGCATCATTATTTCCTCTATTCTAGCAAATTGTTGTATGTACTGTATAAACATTCACCAATATAGTTCAGCACTGTTGTTATATGTTAGAGTTCTTGCATTAAGCAGTTTTCCTTGTTCTTGTATTTGTTAAATAGAAATTACTGTATTAAAATTGGTTTATTATAATATAGTAGGCTACAGAATTTTTTTTTTAGTAATTTGAGCAATATTTTAGTTGCATTTTATGAAGCAATTGCCATAATTCCAATGTACCATTATTCCAAATTTTATACAGAAAAATTATTTTATTAAAGTACTGTAATATTAATTTCCTGGTATTGTAATGTAGTGAATCAGACCTTAATTAAAACTAACCCTGCCATCTTGTTCTTCATGTAGAATATTAAACAAAACAAGGCATTACTGTACAATATTTTGATTCAGATCACGTAAATACACACCTCTGGCAAAGCAGTGACTGAATGAATGATGATGACTGTGATTTCTTGTTTGTGTCACCTTGCCTAGATGAAAGATGGCCATTGAGGTAAAAAAAAAAAAGAAAAGAAGCAAGAGAAGTCGCTGAATGGAGGATGACTTTTTTTTTTTTATTTGGTCAGTAATTGAAGTTGCATTATCCAAATGTTCATTAATCAAGTAAGATATTACAGCATCTTTCTAATAAAGATTCAATACACAAATAACCTTCACACAGGAGAAAGACACTTACGATGACATTTTGGTCCAATTTGGACAATTAACAAGTCACACAGACGAGTGAAGGGAAGGGAGGCTCTTCTGTATGACTAGTTAATGGTCCAAGTTGGACCACAACATCTACATAAGTTTCTTTCTCCTATGTGCAGGTTATTTTTGTGTTCCATTAATGGTATTGTGCCTTTTTATTCTCTAATCAAGATTTTAATGCCATTTAATACTTTCTGATTACTGTACAAAGATGAGAGAGGGCATGGTACAGAGAAGACACAGGATTTAACCAACGTGTACATAGACCTATAGACTCTGAGAGAAAGGGAATGGGTATTGAAAACAGAAAAGTGCTGTTTTTTTTTTTTAACACATCAGCCATTTCCCACCGAGGCAAGGGCGACTATAAAAAAGAAGAAACATTTTTATTATCACTCGTTCTGTCACTGTCTTGCCAGAGGTGTGCCGATACTACAGTTCAAAAACTGCAACGTATCTCCCCCCCACCTTCAGAGTGCAGGCACTGTACTTCCCACCTTCAGAGTGCAGGCACTGTACTTCCCACCTCCACCTCACCTTCAGAGTGCAGACACTGTACTTCCCACCTCCACCTCACCTTCAGAGTGCAGGCACTGTACTTCCCACCTCCAACCCACCTTCAGAGTGCAGGCACTGTACTTCCCACCTCCACCCCACCTTCAGAGTGCAGGGACTGTACTTCCCACCTCCACCCCACCCTCAGAGTGCAGGCACTGTACTTCCCACCTCCACCCCACCTTCAGAGTGCAGGGACTGTACTTCCCACCTCCACCCCACCTTCAGAGTGCAGGCACTGTACTTCCCACCTCCACCCCACCTTCAGAGTGCAGGGACTGTACTTCCCACCTCCACCCCACCTTCAGAGTGCAGGGACTGTACTTCCCACCTCCACCCCACCCTCAGAGTGCAGGCACTGTACTTCCCACCTCCACCCCACCTTCAGAGTGCAGGGACTGTACTTCCCACCTCCACCCCACCTTCAGAGTGCAGGCACTGTACTTCCCACCTCCACCCCACCTTCAGAGTGCAGGGACTGTACTTCCCACCTCCACCCCACCTTCAGAGTGCAGGGACTGTACTTCCCACCTCCACCCCACCTTCAGAGTGCAGGCACTGTACTTTCCACCTCACCTTCAGAGTGCAGGCACTGTACTTTCCACCCCACCTTCAGAGTGCAGGCACTGTACTTCCCACCTCCACCCAATATAGCCCCACTCCATAAAGGTGGCAGCAAAGCATTAGCTAAGAACTATAGACCAATAGCTCTGACACCCCACATCATAAAAATCTTTGAAAGAGTGCTAAGAAACAGGATTGCAAATCACCTGGATTCCCAAAATCTGCACAATCCAGGGCAACATGGGTTCAGGGCAGGTCGCTCCTGCCTCTCACAGCTACTGGATCACTATGATATGGCCTTCGATGCACTGGAAGAAAATCAGAATGCAGATGTAATATACACAGACTTTGCAAAAGCATTTGACAAATGCGATCATGGCGTAATAGCCCATAAAATACATGCTAAAGGAATAACTGGGAAAGTGGGGAGATGGATCTTCAACTTCCTAACAAATCGAACACAAAGAGTAGTGGTCAACAGAGTTAAATCGGAGGCTGCCATAATGAAGAGCTCTGTTCCACAAGGCACAGTACTCGCCCCATCTTATTCCTCATCCTCATATCAGGCATAGACAGAGATATACACCACAGCACCGTATCATCCTTTGCGGATCATACTAGGATCTGCACGAGGCTGTCATCTGCTGAGAACGCGGTTAACCTCCAAAAAGATATAAACAAAGTTTTCCAGTGGGCAACAGTAAACAATATGATGTTCAATGAGGACAAATTCCAACTACTCCGTTATGGAAAACTGGAAGAGATAATAACTAGAACAGAGTATACTACGGACTCTGGCCATACAATAGAGCGGAAAAATAATGTAAGGGACCTGGGAGTAGTAATGTCTGAGGATCTCACTTTCAAGGATCACAACAGTGCCACGATCGCAAGTGCAAAGAAAATGATAGGATGGATAATGAGAACGTTCAAAACTAGAGATGCCAAGCCAATGATGATCCTTTTCAAATCACTTGTTCTCTCTAGGCTGGAATACTGCTGTACATTAACATCTCCATTCAAAGCAGGTGAAATTGCAGATCTAGAGAGTGTACAGAGATCCTTTACTGCACTTATAAGTTCTGTCAAGCACCTTAACTACTGGGAATTCTTGGAAGCACTTGACTTGTACTCATTGTAACGCAGGAGGGAGAGATATCATAATCTACACTTGGAAAATCCTGGAAGGAATGGTCCCAAATCTTCACACAGAAATCACTCCCTACGAAAGTAAAAGACTGGGCAGGCAATGCAAAATGCCCCCAATTAAAAGTAGGGGCGCCATTGGTACACTAAGGGAAAACACCATAAGTGTCTGGGGCCCAAGACTGTTCAACAGCCTCCCATCAAGCATTAGGGGAATTGCCAATAAGCCCCTGGCTGCCTTCAAGAGAGAGCTGGACAGATATCTAAAGTCAGTGCCGGATCAGCCGGGCTGTGGCTCGTACGTTGGACTGCGTGTGGCCAGCAGTAACAGCCTGGTTGATCAGGCCCTGATCCACCGGGAGGCCTGGTCCCACCTCCACAGCCTAATTGATTTCCGAGTTAAGAGAATGAAAAACTTTTAATAATAATTAAAATTCTTTAGTCCTTGATAATTTAGTATTCAAGAATTAACTAAACATCTACAGATCTAAACTGTGAGAATATGTAAATTTTAATAAACTAAAAGAATAAAGTGTAGCTGTTCAAAGATACAGTACTGTATTGTTGTTCATAACATACTTTCATTGAAAATATTAAAAAAAAAAACCCTCTTGAAACTCTTCATAAGTATAAAAGTATATTTTACCATTCTTCCAGGTTGGCATGGATGAAAAATTAGCAAAAATCATGGAGGAGCAGGCCCAATGTGTGGTGACTGTCAAGACACGATCAAAGGAGGAGGAGAATCTCAAGAGTGCTATACTGGCACAATATGCACAAGTAGGGTGACAAGATTGGCTAGGATGACTTTTATGATGAATTAAGACACTTGTGCAATCCTTTCATCTTTTTAATGTGGAAACATTTTGCCAACCAGTGATGTCCTCAGTCCAATATTGAGAAGTTACTGATAGTGATCAAGAAGAGTTAAGAGACTAGTGGAGGTATTAACATTAAGAACACCAATGTAGAGGAGGTATTTCAAGAAGAGAGGGAGGAGGATGTTACTGCTCTGTATTGGACTGAAGCCACTGGTTTGATAAACTTTTCCACAATAAGGATACTCAAGTGTTGCACAAGTGTCTAACTAATCATCCTGTCGGTTCTGTGAACCATTTACCTACATAAGTTTTATGTAAGCCAAGCCAGTACTGGTAGTTAGAGATACCCTGGGAAAATTATTCTGAAATCACCATAATAATCTCTATAAATTTTTATGGATATGAGGTCAGTATACAGAAGCTTTTATTGGGACTACCCAGTGTGTTTCTCTCAGGCTTTTTACAATTACTTGGGTGCCTATAGGGATCTCGGGGAACTTTTAGGGAAATCTTTTGACAGTAATTTAATGGGGTTTTTAAATTGATGATCGCTATATTAACTTGGGTTTGATAGTACATGTTTGTGTTGAGCATTTTATTCATGATTGTAGTTTTTATTGTTTGGTAATTGTATCTGTTATTTTTAATAGGGATAGAATTTTACTAGATTTTTTACAGATCCTGATATTAAATGTAGGCCGATACCAGTATCAACAAAATTGGCAGATAGCAGTACTGATTCCAGTGCCATCAATGTTAGCTGATGGCCACCAGTTTTAAAACTCAATTTTTTAGACAGATTTTTTTTCCTAAACAAACCAGCCATATCCCACCAAGGCAGGGTGACCTAAAAAGAAAAACAAAAGTTTTTATTTTTAAATTTAGTAATTTATACAGGAGAAGGGGTTACTGGCCCTTTGCTCCCAGCATTTCTTCTGACTTAAGAGTTAGCGGTTATGAACTGGTTGAATATAGGAAGGGCAGAAAAACTTGTATGAATGGTTATAATATAAGTGTCCTAAATGCTGAAAAGAGGATGGGACCACCTCTACTAGTAGTCAAGAGAAGGCGGACCTCTTTGCTGAACACTTTGCTACCAAAATGCAAGTTCCTGATCCAGCAAGGGACCCTCCTTGGCTAGCTGCAAGAACTGTGTCAAAACTGTCAGTGGTGACAATAAGGGAGGAGGAGGTGCATTTCCTTCTTAAATCGCTTGATCAAGAAAAGGCTGTGGGCCTAGACAAGTTGAGCTCAAGATTGTTGAGAAGATGTGCAGACCAGCTAGCAGCACCTCTAACTTGCATCTTTCAGCACTGCCTAGTACAGTGTAAATGGCCCTCTCTATGGAAAGAGGCAAATGTAGTCCCTGTTCACAAAAAGAAGAGCAGAGCAGAAATCAGCAACTACAGACCAGTGTCAATCCTGTCAATCACTGGTAAGATCCTTGAGACAATAATCTCAAGACAAATGACAGAGTTTTTTGACTACCACTCACTACTTTGTGATCGTCAATATGGCTTCAGGAAAGGTTACTCTGCTGCTGATCTGTTGTTAAACCTCTCCACTAAGTGGCACCAGTCACTGGATGAATCCAAAGTCAGCTGTGTGGTAGCACTGGACATTGCTGGAGCTTTCGACCGGGTGTGGCACCAGGGCCTCTTAGCAAAACTTCAAGCACTGGGAATTGCAGGCTCTACGCTATGTCTCCTCAGTGATTACCTTCATGGTAGATCTCTAAGTGTAGTTCTCAATGGAACGGAATCAGCAAGACATCCTATTGGGGCAAGTGTTCCACAAGGAAGCGTGCTGGGTCCATTGTTATGGAATGTCTACTTCAACGACCTTCTTCATCTCATCCCAGAATCACATGCATATGCAGACGACTATACACTGACATTCACTTATCCAAGAGAAGAAATGCCAGCTGCTCTAAGCTACATCAATCACCAGCTGAGAGCTATATCAGCTTGGGGAAATAGATGGCAAGTAACATTTGCACCTGAGAAAACGCAAATGATGATCGTCTCTAGGCACCATGATGGTAATGCTGGTGCAGTAGTAAGGATGAATGGGAGGGTGTTGGCACCTGGAGAAGAAGTTGATATCCTTGGGGTGAAATTTGACTCCAAACTAACCATGAAGAACCATGTTGTAAATCTTGCAAACAAGGCAGCCAGGAAGCTTACAGCACTTCGCCGTATCTCGCATCTGCTTGACAGTAGGGGTTACAAGATCTTGTACGAGGCACAAGTACGCTCACACCTTGAGTATGCTCCACTTTCTTGGTTTGCCTGCCCCCCCACTCATCTGCGACTGCTTGACAGAGTAGAGAACAGAGCAAGACGTCTCATCTCTCGCCTGGACCCATCCTGGATAGATCTGTCATTTCAGCAGAGCCTTCAACATAGGAGGGATGTGGGTGGCCTTACTGTTATGTACAAGGCCAATATTGTCAAAATACCGCACTTGGATCCACTTCAAGGACAGCGTGAAACAAGCTTTTATGCCACAAGACGGGCAGAAAGCAGCAACTTCACTCTGGCTGTACCCTTCTCCAGAACATCACTCCATCTGAGATCATACATACCCAGGATGACTCGAGTATGGAACACATTCGTACAGCATAATGATGTCAACGAGATAAAGTCAGTTGATCAAATGAAAATGCTGGCCCACAGATGGCTCCAACTTCATCCTGTTCCCTACTTGTATGTCTCATAACAATAAAAATGCTTTCAAATGAGTTGATGTAGGTAACAGCTCTTAGCTTGCCAATAAAGTTAGGAATCCTTAACCTGTAAATAGCTTGTCAATAAAGCTAGGGATCCTTAACCTTGTCAAACCCTGTGTAAAAAAAAAAAAAAAAAAAAAAAAAAAGTCTGAAGCTGAAAGCACACATGGTCTAACATGAATACACATACATTTATACCATATATCATTTCTAGTTTTCTGATTTGCTTTCCATTCATGTGGGATTTACATTGTATAAGAGCATTTTTATTTGAGCTCTTAAGCTTCCACAGCATTTACAAATGTGTCATGTATAGCTGGAAATAGATTAAGGTTGATACTCCGCTAATATGTCTTGTTAACAGATTTTGATGTTTGCTGGCAGGTGTCTGACGGAGAAGTTACTGATAGTGATCAGGAAGAGTTAGAGACTAGTGGAGGTATTAGCACTAAGAACACCAATGCAGAGGAGGTGTTTAAAGCAGAGAGGGAGAAGAGAGAGAGGGACAAAGAAGAGGCACAGCGCAAGAGAGAAAAGGACAAAGAAGACAGGTAAGACTAACAAACTGTGTACTGCTAACCTACTATTCTGAAGCCCAGTAATGAGAGTAACATGTATCTCGCTATTATAGTCTATTGAGGATTGAGTCTTTCTCATAAACTTGTCAGTATTATATACTGTACCATTTATGACAAGCTTTTGCTGCCTGTGGCCTGCAAGTTAACATAAGCTTCACAAGCCAGATGATCAGGAAGCTCATGCAATAACTTGTATAGATCCGTCTGGAAAACTTTTTTTTTTATCAGTTAGTTTTACTAGTAGTGTATCTTACTGAAATCCTGTGAACAACCGTGGGCTGATTATTGCTTTCTCAGTGTAAGAAATAAACAAATTATTAATTCATCTTTTTAATATAGGCAGGCCCTGCTTTACAGAAGTTTTCAGTTAGTATACCCATTCTTTATTTATTCAAACTTCCTACAATAAATATATTCACCACTCACTGTAACCTAAGGACGAAAATGTTTTAATGTAAGTAATGTGTGTACTGTATGTGCATTTTTTAGGCCTAGCTATATTGCTCACTTAATATATGATAGTGTAAACATGTTATCAGGCTTTTATATGTACAAAAATTAAAAAAGAGTTAAAAAAGGCTATGATTAACTTTACAGCGATTTTTGCTTTACAGCAGTAGCCCAAAACCTAACTTGCTGTATCAGTAGGGTCCACCTGTACCATTCCCTGGGCACTGTTGCCCAGGGATTATAGTAATAATTAAATACTATATGATGGTAGGATTGCTGGTGTCTTTTGTCTGTCTCGTAAATATGCAAGATTACAGGTACGTCTTGCTACTTCTACTTACACTTAGGTCACACTACACATACATGTACACGTTTATTTATACACACTCATCTGAGTTTTCTTTGATTTTATCTTAATAGTTCTTGGTCTTATTACTTTTCCTTTTATATCCATGGGGAAGTGGAATAAGAATCTTTCCTCCGTAAAAGTCAACTAAAATGCCGGGAACAATGGGCTAGTAACCCCTTTTCCTGTAAAGATTACTAAAAAGAATAAGAAGAAGAAAATTGTCAAAGTGGGAAGTCTGAATGTGCGTGGATGTTGTGCAAATGATAAGAAAGAGATGATTGTGGATGTTATGAATGAGAAGAAACTGGATGTCCTGGCTTTAAGTGAAACAAAGCTGAAGGGGGTGGGAGAGTTTCAATGGAGAGGAATAAATGGGATTAGGTCAGGGGTTTCAAATAGAGTTAGAGCTAAAGAAGGAGTAGCAATAATGTTGAAGGATAAGCTATGGCAGGAAAAGAGGGACTACAAATGTATAAATTCAAGGATTATGTGGAGTAAAATAAAGATTGGATGTGAAAAGTGGGTTATAGTAAGCGTGTATGCACCTGGAGAAGAGAGAAGTGTAGAGGAGAGAGAGAGATTCTGGGAAATGTTGAGTGAATGCGTGGGGAGTTTTGAATCAAGTGTGAGAGTAATGGTTGGGGATTTCAATGCTAAAGTGGGTAAAAATGTTATGGAGGGAGTAGTAGGTAAATTTGGGGTGCCAGGGGTAAATGTAAATGGGGAGCCTTTAATTGAGCTATGTGTAGAAAGAAATTTGGTAATAAGTAATACATATTTTATGAAAAAGAGGATAAATAAATATACAAGCTATGATGTAGCACGTAATGAAAGTAGTTTGTTAGATTATGTATTGGTGGATAAAAGGTTGATGGGTAGGCTCCAGGATGTACATGTTTATAGAGGGGCAACTGATATATCGGATCATTATTTAGTTGTAGCTACAGTTAGAGTAAGAGGTAGATGGGAAAAGAGGAAGGTGGCAACAACAAGTAAGAGGGAGGTGAAAGTGTATAAACTAAGGGAGGAGGAAGTTCGGGCGAGATATAAGCGACTATTGGCAGAAAGGTGGGCTAGTGCAAAGATGAGTAGTGGGGGGGTTGAAGAGGGTTGGAATAGTTTTAAAAATGCAGTATTAGAATGTGGGGCAGAAGTTTGTGGTTATAGGAGGGTGGGGGCAGGAGGAAAGAGGAGTGATTGGTGGAATGATGAAGTAAAGGGTGTGATAAAAGAGAAAAAGGTAGCTTACGAGAGGTTTTTACAAAGCAGAAGTGTTATAAGAAGAGCAGAGTATATGGAGAGTAAAAGAAAGGTGAAGAGAGTGGTGAGAGAGTGCAAAAGGAGAGCAGATGAAAGAGTGGGAGAGGCACTGTCAAGAAATTTTAATGAAAATAAGAAAAAGTTTTGGAGTGAGTTAAACAAGTTAAGAAAGCCTAGGGAAAGTATGGATTTGTCCGTTAAAAACAGAGTAGGGGAGTTAGTAGATGGGGAGAGGGAGGTATTAGGTAGATGGCGAGAATATTTTGAGGAACTTAAATGTTGAGGAAGAAAGGGAGGCAGTAATTTCATGCACTGGCCAGGGAGGTATACCATCTTTTAGGAGTGAAGAAGAGCAGAATGTAAGTGTGGTGGAGGTATGTGAGGCATTACGTAGAATGAAAGGGGTAAAGCAGCTGGAACTGATGGGATCATGACAGAAATGTTAAAAGCAGGGGGGGATATAGTGTTGGAGTGGTTGGTACTTTTGTTTAATAAATGTATGAAAGAGGGGAAGGTACCTAGGGATTGGCGGAGAGCATGTATAGTCCCTTTATATAAAGGGAAAGGGGACAAAAGAGATTGTAAAAATTATAGAGGAATAAGTTTACTGAGTATACCAGGAAAAGTATACGGTAGAATTATAATTGAAAGAATTAGAGGTAAGACAGAATGTAGAATTGCGGATGAGCAAGGAGGCTTCAGAGTGGGTAGGGGATGTGTAGATCAAGTGTTTTACATTGAAGCATATATGTGAACAGTATTTAGATAAAGGTAGGGAAGTTTTTATTGCATTTATGGATTTAGAAAAGGCATATGATAGAGTGGATAGAGGAGCAATGTGGCAGATGTTGCAAGTATATGGAATAGGTGGTAAGTTACTAAATGCTGTAAAGAGCTTTTATGAGGATAGTGAGGCTCAGGTTAGGGTGTGTAGAAGAGAGGGAGAATACTTCCCGGTAAAAGTAGGTCTTAGACAGGGATGTGTAATGTCACCATGGTTGTTTAATATATTTATAGATGGGGTTGTAAAAGAAGTAAATGCTAGGGTGTTCGGGAGAGGGGTGGGATTAAATTATGGGGAATCAAATTCAAAATGGGAATTGACACAGTTACTTTTTGCTGATGATACTGTGCTTATGGGAGATTCTAAAGAAAAATTGCAAAGGTTAGTGGATGAGTTTGAGAATGTGTGTAAAGGTAGAAAGTTGAAAGTGAACATAGAAAAGAGTAAGGTGATGAGGGTATCAAATGATTTAGATAAAAAAAAATTGGATATCAAATTGGGGAGGAGGAGTATGGAAGAAGTGAATGTTTTCAGATACTTGGGAGTTGACGTGTCGGCGGATGGATTTGTGAAGGATGAGGTTAATCATAGAATTGATGAGGGAAAAAAGGTGAGTGGTGCGTTGAGGTATATGTGGAGTCAAAAAACGTTATCTATGGAGGCAAAGAAGGGAATGTATGAAAGTATAGTAGTACCAACACTCTTATATGGATGTGAAGCTTGGGTGGTAAATGCAGCAGCGAGGAGATGGTTGGAGGCAGTGGAGATGTCCTGTCTAAGGGCATTGTGTGGTGTAAATATTATGCAGAAAATTCGGAGTGTGGAAATTAGGAGAAGGTGTGGAGTTAATAAAAGCATTAATCAGAGGGCAGAAGAGGGGTTGTTGAGGTGGTTTGGTCATTTAGAGAGAATGGATCAAAGTAGAATGACATGGAAAGCATATAAATCTATAGGGGAAGGAAAGAGGGGTAGGGGTCGTCCTCGAAAGGGTTGGAAAGAGGGGGTAAAGGAGGTTTTGTGGGCGAGGGGCTTGGACTTCCAGCAAGCGTGCATGAGCGTGTTAGATAGGAGTGAATGGAGACGAATGATACTTGGGACCTGACGATCTGTTGGAGTGTGAGCAGGGTAATATTTAGTGAAGGGATTCAGGGAAACCGGTTATTTTCATATAGTCGGACTTGAGTCCTGGAAATGGGAAGTACAATGCCTGCACTTTAAAGGAGGGGTTTGGGATATTGGCAGTTTTGGAGGGATATGTTGTGTATCTTTATATGTATATGCTTCTAAACTGTTGTATTATGAGCACCTCTGCAAAAGCAGTGATAATGTGTGAGTGTGGTGAAAGTGTTGAATGATGATGAAAGTATTTTCTTTTTGGGGATTTTCTTTCTTTTTTGGGTCACCCTGCCTCGGTGGGAGACGACCGACTTGTTGAAAAAAAAAAAAATGAATATAATAAAAAATAAATTATTTATGGTTTTATTACTACTAATAATATTACTGTTACTACAGCCTCTCCTCACTTACCGACGGAGTTCCGTTCCTAAGACCACATCGGTAAACGAATTTGTCGTTAATCGAGGAATCGCCCCTTACTGACACTTCAAAAGTGTCGCCACCCAAAATTAAAACTTTCAGTCTTGTTTGCTGGGAAATTTCTTTCAGTCTGTTTATTATTAATGGTAATACAACATGAAATAGGTCAGTGACTTGCTTCCGAGATAATCCAGGAAACATGTGTATAGCCGATTACTTAGGATTTTTTTTTTTTTTTTATTGAGAAAATCTCACTTTTTTCAGTCTTTGCATAGGAAAAGAGTGATCTTCTATAGTTACCCTTCAATACCTCTCTATATAATGTCAAATTTTATTAATTTGAGCATCTTTATCATGCTTCTACATTATTTATGTAGGAAGGAGATTCAGATCCTTGAAGCTGAGATGTTGCGCTTCCGGTTCATGGCCCAAGTTCTCGTACAGTATACAATAACAGCTCGCCAGAGAGCCTGTCATAACTCTGAGTTGTTGGTAAACAAGTGCATCGGTAAGTGAGGAGAGGCTGTATTATATTATTTTCATGGGGATGCACTAAACCAGTAGGGGATGATACAGCACCTGTGGAATGGGTCCTTCATCAGGGCGCTCCTTAAAAGGTTTACATCTAATAATTGACTCCTTGTTTCAGAGCTAAGCAGAAGTCTAAAGATGATGAGAGGAAGGAGAAAGAGAAGAAACGAACCCAAAAGGGAGAACGCAGACGGTGATCGCCTCCACTATTAGTTATTAGTCATTATTTAAATAAGTTTCAGCTAGCAAATACAGATATTCATAATATATTGTAAACTGGAACAGGTAATTTTATGAAATAGTTGTAATTCATTGTATTCCTGAGCCATGTATTATTTTGAGACATATTTCTTTGATGTCATCTGTAGAACATTATTTGTTTTAAAGGTTCATTATTAACAAAGAGTTTTTGAATTATTTGTGAGGCTAGATGTCTGTTCTTTATTTTATCTTTAAATATTCTAAATAAGCAATCTTTACAGCATCAAGAATATATGGTCAAAATAAAGATATAAATTGATTATTTGCATATTTTTTACTTATATCTCTATGTATACAAAGCATCAATATATTTATCCAACAGATTGCTCTGTAGTTAAATGAGTGACGTTCTAAAGAATAGAAGTTGGAGCAGTGAGAGGTAGTAGGTTGGTAGATGGCAACCATCGAGAGAGGCACTACCGTATTGTCATACCAGTATGAAATGGAAACTTGTACTGTATAACATTTTCCTCTCTGGCAGGCTTGCTGGACTTTTCTGCCTCATGAATGCATAAGGTGACAAACTTTTTCTTAGTATACACTTGCCTTTACTTTCCTATGTATTTTTTAATGCTGCTGTTCTTAATTTTGTAATATTTCCTTTCCAATTTTGGGGGCCTGGTATAATACCAGCCTGTGGGGGGGCGATGATTCCTGGAAGCATTAATGTATATTTGGGTTCAGTGCTATGGAAGAGTAGTTAACTATTGAAGTGTGGGTTTGATCTAATATGAAGTGGGAGCTACCACAGCTGTTTGTTTGGACTAGACGTTGTCTCAGGAACGGTTGGAGGGAGAGGGAAAAGTTATCTTTGAGTTTTAGGGGCTTGAGCATCAAGCAGGCTTGTGTGAACATTAGATAAAGAGTGAATAAACGTTTTAATGTATGGGCTGTTGGACTGAGAGAAAGGTAACTTTTATGAAGAGATTCGGGGAAAACTGATTAAGTCAGAACACTTCTGGCAAGACAGCGATTGAATGAATGCATTTGAATTTTTTTTTTTTTTTTTTGGGGGGGGGGGTTACTCTTTCATAGCAGGAGACAGCTATTGGGTTCAAAAACAAATGAAAATTAGTAATGATGTCTTAAGTTTTTGTTAAGGCATTGAATAACCAAATGGTTAGTGCTTTGTAAGTCATACAACTCAACCCTCAGATGAGCAATTGCTCTTTTCAGACTTATAATGGTTTTCACCCAGCTTTTGCCTACTTAGCAGTGTCAGTAATCTGCGTTCTTGACTAATACAGTAATATAGTAGTTTCGGTAAAAACCACACCTGACCTTGAACCATCTTCAGAATGTCATTGGTGTTTGTGGGAGTGTGCATGAGAGAACTGGTTTGAAGCAGTAATATTAGGCAGTGAATCCAAGATAACATATTTTTAGCAGCAATGTTGAAACATCAAGATTAGGCATTTAACCCAAAGCTTCAGTAGGCAGGTAACTTGAACTTAGTTGGGTGAACCCAATGCTTTGGAATCACAGTTTCATGTTCGCTTGAGGGGAGAAGTGAACAAATTGCTGCAGTTTCAGGTGAATTGTTTCTAATTTAGTTTCAAAGTTAAGATGTTTTATTGTAGTTGTAAATAAAGAGTTGTGGATCTCTTGGAGTAGCAAGGTGAGAATTCATCACTTGATAAAGGGAAGCTAATAAGTGATCGATAGTTTAGCATGGACCCAGAAGCCTTGGCGAGTGTGGGGTCAGCTATCACTGATCCAGCATGTAAAAGTTCATTATGCCTTGTTCTCTTACAAAACTGCATTGCTCTAGACCTTTCAGCAGTTCACCTGTCAGCCAAATTAACCTATAAATAGAGATGCTAGCCAAAATTAGTGATGGCTGACCTGTATATATATACACTAGTGACACTGAGAATAGCGAGCTAATGATCATCATAGTGGAACAGTTTAGTAGCACCATAGTAGAACAATGTGTTGGCATCATAGTGGAAAGATGTATAAACACCATAGTTGAGATGTATTGCTGCCATTGGATAGATGTCACAATAAGGTTTGCTGTGATCTTTGCCTAAGGGGATATGAACACTAGTAATGCAAGTTTAACACTCGTACAGTACCAACCACAGTATAGTGGTACCTCGAGTTACGAACTTAATTCATTCCAGAAGGCTGTTCGAGTGCCAATACCAAACTAATTTGTCCCAATTAGGAATAATGTAAATTAGATTAGTCCATTGCAGACCCCCAAACATACACTTGTTCGCGTTGGGAGCTGTTCGAAACTCGAGGTACCACCGTACTATGGTACAGTTGTCAAAACATTTAGTCTTATAAATTCCATAGGATAGTGCAAAACCCATAGGAAACATTTGGTGCCTGAGGAATGGGGGACAGGGTAATCAGGTTTGATCTGAGGAAAGGAAGAGTAGTTCAAAGCCCTCTGTTGAAATCTTAGGAATCTGTCATGGTTACCTTTGCTGGCCCCTTCAAAGGGTTTACTTCGATGTTGGTGAAAGGCTTTGGATTCAAGGAATGGTTGAGTAAAACCTGTCTAGCACGGGATAATAGGCCTACTGCAGTGCTGCTCTAATGAAATTGGATCCACACTTGTATCAGACCTGGTTGCCTTACATTCCCTCAGGCACTGTATTACCTGTGTGGGTTTAGTTCTCTTCCATGTAGTAATAGTTTTAGAAAAATCAGTATTATCATTGTTGTTATCAACCCCAAATCCTTATAAGTTTAGAGTTATCCCATGAACATACCATTGCTGGTACTAAATTGGTAGCCACTCCCATCTCTGCAAACTGACAAGAGTAACACTTTTTCTTAACTGGTCTGACACAAGTAGCTATTGTTGAAACAAATCTTTCAGACACAAATATGGGTTTAGTACTCTGAGTATAACACAAAAATAGTAGTAATCTTGCACAAAATGACACTTTTTAAACTTAATGCAGATAAAAAGTATTTAACTTATTTCCTGTCTGTCTCGAGAAATAAAGTTTTTAGGAAGTGCATCCGTCTCGCTCAAAGAAGACGGAGGATCAAGCTTCCACTATGTCTTACACAGGTTTAGGGCTTAACATGAATTAAACAATTTTAATAGAAAATTACAAAAAGGAAATTGGCCCTGTGTGAATGAGGGAAATTATACAAACACTTTCTTGTAAAATTATTTTATGTAAAATTTGTCAATAATAAAAATGTTCACATCCTTCAAGTTACATTCTAAAATACTGCCAAAACATCAGGGTCGGCCCGTAGCTTCAGAAGTGTGACCTTAAAAAACAACAAAAAAGGAAAACACAAAAACTTACATATAATACAAACTTTACAATGATACAAAGAAGGGATCAGACAAATATTCACCATTTCAAGGGATGAACTTAACCAGGAATTTAACATCCAAAAAAAATCACTTTCATCATTTAAGCAGCTGCATCCATGAATATTGCATTGCAGTGGATGTAAGTGTGGCATGAGAGAGAGAGGGCTCAACAATTTGTACAATGCTGATGTCATAGTAGACATTTTGATCAACCAGTGCAGCGAGGTGGACGAATAAGCACCTTCCTTGACGCATTTTATGATGGAAATAACCTTGGCAAACCGGCCTTTCTGTATTACTTAGTAATTCAACTTGTACAACACACATTCACAAAAGTAAAAGCAATTTATATATAATGTATGTACATATAAATATGTACATGTATATATTTTATATACGTACATACATCTATATATGTACATGCACACTTTTGTGTGTGTGTGTATATACAGACATGGGTATGCATGTACATACACACACATATATATATACATGACAAAGACTGATTGTCAGTTTTAGGAAATTAATGATTTAAAAAAAAAAACTAAATTTTTTAGCTGCACCATCACACAGCACTGGCTGTGCCACCAATAACACTGTGGCCTGCCTAAGGTCACACCAGAACAATTAGCATGCGTTTGTCAGTACTTTAGGTGACGTGGGGGTTTACAGGAGGCCGGCTCATACCACTCACTGCCTGGGCCACCACGCCAGACCCTGCACATGAGCTGGGCCATCCCATGCCAGGCACCACACACCGCCTTCATTCCACCTCAACACTGCACTGGCAATAAATCTTCTAGCAGTCAACAACCACTGAAGGACAGATAGGTGAACAGAGCAAGAATAACTTACACTACAAAGCACCCCATTAACAGTATTGAAACTACAAACTTACAAGTTGCCCTGAAAAGTGAGAACTGAGTGGACTGTGCGGGGTAGGGGGGGCAACCCCACCACTGGACGGGCACACGGGTGGGTGGGGAGGGGCGACCCTCACACCCGCCACGGGTCACTGGTCAGGGGGCAAGGGGCCGCGGGGGAGGGGGCACGCCACCACCACCACCACCACCACACTTGAGCAGGATCACCACCACCGTCACAACCACCACCACTGGTGGCCAGCAAGGGTGAAGGGAGGGGTAGAGTTGCATAGTGGTGAGTGTGCTGGGCGGCAGCTGCTAGCACCAGGTCACCTGTGAGGTAGTTTTCCCCATGCCTCACTTGGGGTTAAATGGGAAGCCCTGGCCAGGCATAGGCCCAGGACCAGGCATGCCTGGCCCTCCTGGTGGACCTGTCACAACAGGCCCTCCTGGTCCACCAGGGCCACCCATGGATCCAGGCATGGGCATGCTGGGGCCCCCACGGGTGTTGGTGGCGTACAGCTGCTGCTGGAAGCTGTGGAACTGGGCGGCATACGTTGGGTCAGCAGTGGTGGGGCCCATGAATGGAGAGTTCTTGAAACTACCCGACTGTCCCATAGATGGCGGAAGAGGCTGAGCTGTGTCTGGCGCCCCACACATAGGTCCACCCATGTTCATGCCCACAGGAGAAGTTTTAGGCCCATACATTGGTCCTGACCCACTCAACATTTGATTAGGGCCACCAGGGTTGGGACCTGGGCCAGTGGGCATTGGGCCTCCACTCATGTTAGGGCCAGGTCCTCCCATGGGATACATATCACTACCCATACCTCCCATCATACCACCAGGACTGGGCCCACGCATCATGGGTCCCCCACCACGAGGTCCCATCATTTGACTTCCAGGACCTAAGGCTCCACCCATCATACTTGGATTCATTCCCATAGGTCCATTAGGTCCCATCATAGGTCCACTTGGCCCACCCATGGGTCCATTTGGGCCCATCATAGGTCCACTGTGTCCACTCATCCCACCTGGCCCTCCCATGTGGCCACCCATTGGACCATTTGGACCCATGCCCATTGGACCATTTGGACCTTGCATGGGGCCACCTGGTCCTGACATAGGAAAAGGTCCATTAGGTCCACTCATATTACTCATATTATTACTCATATTAACCATAGGTCCATTAGGCCCAGCCATAGTACACATAGGTCCTGGGCCACCCATTGGTCCACTTGGGCCACCCATTGGTCCACCTGGTCCATTCATAGGTCCAGACATATGTCCTGTCATTGGCCCACATGGCCCACTCATAGCCATAGTCGACATTGGCACATTGGACCCACACATAGAATTGGGAGTACTACTGTTAGGGAACATGGGCGAACTCGGCACTTTACTGTCCACATTAGGATTATTAAACCTCGGTAAAAAGTCTAAGCTTGGTGGTCCTCGGGGACCATTTCCAGTGTTCTGTGGTCTAGCTGGCAGGTACTGTATAGTATTTGGAGCACTGGGTTTCACTTGCACATTTGCCCCGGGATACGGCCCGGCCATAGTACAGTTAGGAGCAGGGGGTCGCACCATGCTGTTAGGACCAACCATTCGAGTGTTGGGTCCACCCATCATGGACATACTGCTGGGAGACGTTCCTCTTGGACCACCACCACTGCATACCGGAGAGGAGATTGCTCCATGACTCTGCATCATGCCTGGACTGGATGATACTGGAGGCATTCCCATCCCCATTCCAGGACCATCCATCATGTTCCCACCAGGCATGACAGGTCCTGGCATTCCAGGTCCACCCATACTGGGTCCTGACATGTTAGGACCTCCAGGCATGACTGGTCCAGTAGGCATTCCAGGCCCACAAGGCATACCATGTCCACCAGGCAGCCCAGGTGCACCTGGCATTCCTGGTCCACTTGGTATGCTAGGGCCACTGGGACCAGATGGTCCTCCTACACTCATGGCAGGTCCTGTCCCAGTGGGCATGGTGGGTGTGGGAGCTGAAGACACAGGAGGTGAGGAACCAGAAGCTCCAGAAGTGAGCTGCTGGCTCATTTGAGCCATAGAGGAGATGGGGTCAAACACCTTGCCAGGGCCTGATACAGGCAGACCACCAGGTGTGCTGCAATTGGGGTTGAGAGGCAAGTTGGCTGCTGTTGGATTATGAAAATCTCCAGCTATATCCATAGATGCCATCTTACCTGGAGACATGGAGAACCCACTACTCATCTTGCTCATCATTGGATTGCTGCTTGCTGATGCTGGTGTTGGTCCACCCACAGGACCAGGAAATCTTGCTCCTATGGGAGTCATATCCCCTCCAGGACCGACTGCTCCAGACTGTAGAGGTGAAGCTCCTGGGAATCGTGGCATACTGTCTGCCCCACTAGGCGTTGTTGGACCACTACACATACTGGGAGTCTTGGGCGATGGAACTGGGAATCTGGAGTCCATTGAAGGTGTTTTGGGACCACTTTGACTACCACTGTTGTTACTAGTGTTGGAATTATTACTATTATTACTGTTATTATTACTGTTGCTGTTACCAGTGTTGGTACTACTATTATTGCTATTGTTGTTCGTAGGAGTTGTGGTGGCACTAGAGTTGGTTGACTGAGCTTGTGCCTGCGGCGATGGACCAGTGTACCGCTGTTGAGACCCCTTATTTTCTGGCGTTGCTTGAGGGGTATGAGGAGCAGAGTGCACTGGCATGCCAGGTGATGGCACGGGGAAGCGATCCGGTGTATTTGGACCTGTGAACCTTGGTGCTGGCTCAGAGGATGGCGTAAGAGGGGTAGTGGGACCACCCAATGGAGTTCCTGGGCCAGATAATCGACTCCCATCACCAACACTGGTATCTCCCAGCCTGTAACAAAAACAAAATAAGATTAAAAAAAATAATGTATCTGGCAAGCAAATTTCAACACAACTTTTTTGTTCAATTCATCAGCTCTTTCCCACAAAGCAGTGTTACTCAAAGAATACATCCATCATTCATTCACTCCAAACTATCTTTCCAAAAAATGCACAAATATGATTCAATGACCCATCAAACCTCAACATTACTACCTTAAGTGCAGGCAATGTACACTACCAGTAAAATTCCACCTGTTTTCCCTGAATCCCTTCATAGACATTTCCATGCTCACACTCCAAAGGTACATTTAATCTCTTCAATAAACTTTGATTTACTCTAATCTAACATACCCCCATGTGCCTGCTGGATACTTAAGCTATTACCTCTCAACCTATTTCAAACCCTTTTCTTAGATGTTACTGACTCCACCTTCCATCCATCTGAGATTTATGCATCCACTTGGTCAACCTGCTTTACTCCATCCTTTCTACCAATCCATAATCCAAAGAGAATGTCCTTAGATTTTTTCTGCCATTACAGCATTTACTACAGACTCCCATTTCACATGTCTTAAACTGAATTCTTAGATCACTTTTTTGCCTAATAAGCCTATATGTTTCAAACTCTGGTTTCTTGGTTGTAAGAAAACTGCTCTGTCATTGAGCTACAGGTCATCTTGCTAAAACAATCACATTTTTTGTATAATCTGGGAACTCTGTTGACCTGTTTAGAGGTTTTCACTTGTCAAATTATGCCAAGTAGCACAGGTATCTTCTAGAGATAGACAGAGATGCATTAGAAGATGAGACCAGTGAACTGAAAGAAAAATAACTATATATATAAATATAGTAACTTCATGAGAAGTGGAAAAGAATCCTTCCTCTGTAAGCCATGCATGTTGTAAGAGGCGACTAAAATGCCAGAAGCAAGGGGCTAGGAACCCCTTCTCCTGTATAAATTACTAATTATCAAGAGAAAATCTTTTTGAAAGCATTCCTTATTTTTTGGGGTCACCCTGCATCTGTGGGAAATGACCAGTGTTAAAACATATACAGGTCTCCCTCAACATTCGCGAGGGTTAGGGGATCAAGAGCCTCGCGAATGCTGAAAAATCACGAATGTTTGGTGCCCCAATATATTGTAGGGAAATATAATACAATACTGCTTCCTTAACTTGTTGAACTATGAACAATCATAAAATACATGAAAATGTCATAAAATATTGTACTGAATACATACGTTTTTTTTTTTTTTTTTATTATCACACTGGCTGATTCCCACCAAGGCAGGGTGGCCCGAAAAAGAAAAACTTTCACCATCATTCACTCCATCACTGTCTTGCCAGAAGGGTGCTTTACACTACAGTTTTTAAACTGCAACATTAACACCCCTCCTTCAGAGTGCAGGCACTGTACTTCCCATCTCCAGGACTCAAGTCCGGCCTGCCGGTTTCCCTGAACCCCTTCATAAATGTTACTTTGCTCACACTCCAACAGCACGTCAAGTATTAAAAACCATTCGTCTCCATTCACTCCTATCAAACACGCTCACGCACGCCTGCTGGAAGTCCAAGCCCCTCGCACACAAAACCTCCTTTACCCCCTCCCTCCAACCTTTCCTAGGCCGACCCCTACCCCGCCTTCCTTCCACTACAGACTGATACACTCTTGAAGTCATTCTGTTTCGCTCCATTCTCTCTACATGTCTGAACCACCTCAACAACCCTTCCTCAGCCCTCTGGACAACAGTTTTGGTAATCCCGCACCTCCTCCTAACTTCCAAACTACATACATGTTATGGTTTAATAACATGTATGCCTCAACCACTGCAGTGCACTGCTAGTATTTTGGTACAATTTCTTTCTTCAATTATATAGTGTTTCTCAATCTCTTTACCAAAGGGCTGGCACTAGCAAGTTTCTTTGGGCTCATGGTTAATTATGTAGCAGTTACAGTCAATCTACAAGCACCAAACACAATGAATTATTGTGAAATGTTTGGAAGAGTGTGGAGACTAATGCTCACTCCAGCATAAACAAAGCCACACTGACTGACGATGCCTCAACCACTGCTTCAACCCTCGTATTTTTGTACAATTTCCTTCTTCAATTCTATAGTATTATTATTATTAATATGATAGAATTGAGGAAGGAAATAGTACAAAAATACGAGGGTTAAAGCAGTGGTAGAAGAAGTGGTTTATGCATCGTCAGTGTGGCTTTGTTTATGCTGGAGTGAGTATTAATCTCCGCTCTCTTCCAAACATTTCACAATAATTCACTGTGTTTGGTGATTGTAGATTGAGTGCGACTGGAGTGGTAGAGGCAGCGGTTGAGGGAGTGGTTTTTAATAACATGTTGTTAATAATAATACATGTTATTAATAATAACATGTATTACTATTATTAATAATATATATCTTATTAAATACCACTGCCTCTACCACTCCAGCCACACTCAATCTACAAGCACCAAACACAATGTGAAATGTTTGGAAGAGTGTGGAGACTAATGCTCACTCCAGCATAAACAAAGCCACACTGACTGACGATGCCTCAACCACTCCTTCAACCCTCATATTTTTGTACAATTTCCTTCAATGCTATCGTATTATTATTATTATTATTAGCAGTAGCAGAAATGTTTGATTCTTTGCCGTGTTCAAGAGTAAACATATGATGTCACCGTCCAATACCTGTGCGAATAGCCATTCCAATATTCAGTCATGAATGGATTGACGTTATTTATACTTTAGTTTAATAGCAAATAATGAACAAACAAAACACTCACCACACTGAGTGGTGGGAAGGCTGGCTGTCAGTTTTGGGGGTCAGAGGGAGGGTAGTAGGGACTCGTGGGTGGCGGGAAACTTAAATATGATTTGGCAGTTGGGAATTCGCAAATGTGTGAAGCCCGCGAATGTTGAGGGAGACCTGTATACAGTATATGTCCAATAAAATGGACCCCATAAAGCAGATATCATCTAAAACAGACAAAAAATCTGGCCAGACAAAGGTTTAACATGTATGTTGAATGGGATGTCCTATAGTGGACCAAATCTATTATATCAACTGACTGTCCAGTCTAATCATACACCCCACTTAATCAAAAGTTTGTATGGCCCAGTCTTCATCCAAGACCTGTTCATTTTCATTGTGGTGATAGAGACATGCTTCTCATGTCCAACTGAAACTATGTTGCTAAAAATAAAATTAGCAGGCTGCCTGCTAAAGAATTGTAGACAGTCTCCCACCACCCACATCTGGTACATGTACAGTCTCCCTCCTGCCTCTGCTGGCCTTCCCTTCCACTTAACTGAAACTTTCAATATACAGTGGTTCCTGAATTATATTAATCCATTCCAGAAGACATAATGTATCTCCAAAATATCATAACTCAAACCACAAAATATATGGTTTTTGGTAATTCATTCCAAAATGCCAGAACACACTCAACCTGCCCTTGGATTCTTTTTGTTGTTTAAACACTAGGGTTTTCTGAGTGATAAACAAGCATAGGCTGCAGTTTGAAATATCCAGAGGCATTGACACCAGCAACAGGGTAAGCCTGTCTTTCGCAGGCAGGTAGGCAAGCAGGCACCACTTCTTGTAAACAATTATTTTGTTTCTGGCAACTTAGTTTCAGCTGGACACGTGAAGCCTGGACTGTACAAATAAGATTAAGTAGGGCTAACTCCAAACTGTTAAAAACCTAATTTATATGGTAATAGGGATTTGGTAAACATGAGAATTGTGATAATTTGTCAAGTATAGGACAGACTGCATTACAGTCTCTCATGTTAACATGACAGCCACTAAGGTAATAAGATAAATGAGTATCAGAATATAGCATTAGTTATAGTGTAAAGAGAATTTGTTGTAACACTTACGGAGACATAATATCAGAATCTCGAAGGCTGGTGTTTGGCTGTTTCTGAATGGTCAGTTCCTGACCTTCAAAGGTACTGAGGTATTGTATCTGTTGGGGGGATGGGACTGGCATAAGGTTAGGCTCCTTTCCTCCTTGTGGCTGTCCTGCTTGCTGGTGCTTTTGTTGAGCCAAGGTTTGTAACTGTCTCCCAAATGATGTGTCACCTGTAACAAACACCAACAACTGTAATGTTTCTCTGAATTAAAAAAAAAAATCTTACATAAAAATTCTTTTACATATATTTTTTATTATGTATAATACAAATAAAATATATCTTCATTATTGTACTTCACTGTAAAAATAATGAAATCCAGTAATGTGGGCAGGCAAAGATTATAGTTACCACGAGTCTTAAAATAATCAGATCACAAAAATTACAGAAGAAATACACTTAATTCAAAATGTGACATGTAGTATGTGGTCAGTTTTAAGAAACTCTTCAGCACTGTATGACCCTTGTGGGTTTAGCACTTGGTTTTGATTATAATAATTTAAGAAATTCTTGTATTTACAAAAAATGCTAAACCCATATGGATCATTCTGGGCTTTAATTCTAAAAGATAATGTTAATGTTATATAACATCAAGAGGGAGAAAACCATTCGTCCTAAAACAGTACGTATTTCATTGTAAGACCCCCTGACTAATGTTACTACTCTCCCAATCACTTTTTATGTTTTTCTTAAAGAAAAAAAAAAAAAGGTCATCTCACCTGACTGTGGTGTGTGAGGCTGCTGATCTTTCTGTTGTAGTGATGGGCTGGTGATGGGAGGCCCACTGACAGGAGTTGTTGGGTTACTTGGGTTTAGTGGTCGAGGAGAGTCACCTGGCCCTGCTAGTCTCATGCCTGGCCCTCCTCCTGGACCCCCTCCTGGCCCTCCTCCAGGCCCCCCTCCTGGCATACGAGGGGAAGTCATGGCACACATAGATGGTGACCCCGGAGATGACAAGGGGCCATTACCAATGGGACGTGGACCGTGATATGGGGGAGGTGGACCCTGCATACGGGCACCAGGGCCCATGGGGCGCATACCACCAGGACCCATATTACCACTCAATGACCCAGGCATCATAGGTCCTCCTACCATGTGACTGCCCATACCCATAGGTCCTCCTGGACCCATAGGACCACCTGGACCCATATGACCACCTGGACCCATAGGCCCACTTGGTCCCATAGGCCCACCTGGTCCCATGGGTCCACCTGGACCCATGGGTCCACCTGGGCCCATAGGTCCACCTGGTCCCATAGGTCCACCTGGTCCCATAGGTCCACCTGGACCCATAGGTCCACCTGGTCCCATAGGCCCACCTGGACCCATTGGACCCCCAGGACCCATTGGACCACCAGGACCCATAGGTCCCATTGGACCCATTGGACCCATGGAACCATCTGGACATCCTGGACCACCTTTTTTTCTCTTACTTTCAAAAAATTCTGCTTGCAATCTTTGCCACTCAGCTTGAGCTGCCATAGATGATGCAGGATTTGGTCCAGCCATCATCATAGATTGGGGCCCACCAGGGCCCATTCTCATTCCTGGGACACCTGGACCCATTGGGCCACCCATCATGTTTGCTTGCGAGGTCATCATCATGTTATTTCCCATGTGGCCTTGACCCATCATTACCCCACTTTGGGACACCATAGAATTTGGACCACCAGGACCCATCATACCTGGTGACATACCCATCCCAGGCCCTGGGCCCATGCCAGGACCCATGCCTGGCCCTGGACCCATACTGGTGTTGGGCATGCCTGGACTTGGGCCCATTCCTGGACTAGGACCCATTCCTGGTGAGGGTCCCATATTTGGACTAGTGCCCATACCAGGAGAAGGTCCCATTCCAGTAACTGGAGATGGACCCATGCAGGTAACAGGTGTTGCTTGGGAACAGGATGGGCCTGACTGGGAAACCTGTGAGACTGATTGTGTTTGACTTTGAGAGCATGGCATCATATTTGCTACACTTTGACCCGAAGAGCAAGGAGGCTGGTTTCCAGGATGGCCATTATCATTCTGGCTTGGAGAATGGAGTTCTGGCAGTAATAATGCTTGCATGTGACGTATCCGAGCCATTTGTTCTTCTCGGTGCTGACGCTGTTCTGGTGTGAGGTGATCATCTGGTACTTTAACGCCTGCTGGGGCACCTACAATCATCACAAAATGTTAGAAGGGCCAATTTATTTAGATTTAAGTATAATGGAACAGGTGAATGAAGCCTCAGATAGTCAAAGAAAGAGAGAATAAAAGCATCCCTATTTTCTTAGAATATTTACTTTCATCTTTAACCCTTTCACTGTCTCGTACGTAGATCTAAGTTATTGATGCCAGGGTAATTTATGTAGATCTACATTACTGAAGCCAAGGTTGCACATGCAGATCTTTGTTTTGATCTAGTTCCCTCAGATAAGCTGTGAGCAGTAAGTTTTGGCCTAGACAGAATGAGTCTGTGTGGCGAGTGTGCACAGAATTAAAAATCCTGCCCCATGCACTGCATCATGGAAAAAGAAAACCTCTGACCTTTGTGTCTGGTTTAAAATAGTGACTTGGTTTTTTATGGTTTTATTGGTTATTTCTTGGTGTTATTTAATAGAATGGAAGATCTTTCTTCTTTCAACACACCGGCTGTATCCCACCGAGGCGGGGTGGCCCTAAAGGAAAAACGAAAGTTTCTCCTTTTACATTTAGTAATATATACAGGAAAAGAGGTTACTAGCCCCTTGCTCCCGGCATTTTAGTCGCCTCTTACAACACGCATGGCTTACGGAGGAAGAATTCTGTTCCACTTCCCCATGGAGGTAAGAGGAAATAAACAAGAACTAGAAAGAAAATAGAAGAAAACCCAGAGGGGTGTGTATATATATATATGTTTGTACATGTATGTGTAGTGTGACCTAAGTGTAAGTAGAAGTAGCAAGACATACCTGAAATCTTGCATGTGTATGAGACAGAATAAAAAGACACCAGCAATCCTACCATCGTGTAAAACAATTACAGGCTTCCGTTTTACACTCACTTGGCAGGACGGTAGTACCTCCCTGGGCGGTTGCCGTCTACCAACCTACTACCTATAAGAATGGAAGATATACTGCCAAAACACAGATAATTTTGGTTAGTTTCAGGACCAGAAGTAGCTTGAAATTGACCTCATAATATTGGAAATATTTAATTTTTGACAATTTTCCTGAGGACAGGTAAGGCATCCCCATACACTTCCCTAATCTATTTTATGGGTTTTTACTAGGTTTGCTTCATTTGCTGAGATGACAAACTATAACCACTCATTCTTGTTTATATTTTATTAATCTGAGAAATAGCGTTAATCTATTTTTTGTGTGATGATGACTTCAATATGGAGGGCAAGTGTAATATAGGAGAGGTCTGAGGTTAACCTTTTACTGGGCAGGAGAGGCCTGAGGATAATAAACAGAGGAAATGTTGCTTTGGTGCCAGGAATGTCTACTGTGTTTATTTTGGACTCTTTAAACTGGAATTCTTTTGAATTTGGTGTAAAATTAGCCAAATTACCAACTTCTGTGTAACTTATAGAGTAATTCTGATAGTTAAATGGGCAGTTTCTTGTGCTTAACTGACAGAACGGAAGGCACATTAGTGAAATTGCTAAGAATTTAGTCAAACTAAACAATAGAATTGGCTTGAAATAGGACTCAAAGAGGGTGAAACTGCTATTGCGTAAGTTGCACCCAGACTGCTAATTTTGTGCCTGCTTAATTCCTTGAGTTTTCCATAAAATTATGTATATTTTGTGTCATTCCCGTTAGAAAAAGATTCTCTACCTTTTTTTTATATGGTGACAATACTGTCAGCATTTTTAATTTTGAGGTTTCCAACAGTGAAGAGGTTAAACTACATTTAGTCTTACTTTTGTGATATATTTTTCTCAAGACTTGTTCTTGAAAATTTGTTATATAACCAATGCTGTAATAAGAACCACTTCAACCATAAAGCAAACTAAGCAGATGCCTAATATGGAAAAATTTGGAGAAAGGCAAAAAGAAACAAATCTTGGTTCATTGTGTTTGTTAGTTAGCCAGGTTGTGGAGACACTGACCCCTCTGAAGCCTCCTTCAGATATACTGCTGTACATCAAAGATATGTACAAATTTTAGGGGTATACAGCACAGTATTCTTAAATCTATACACAGGGGTATGCAGTTGATGATATAAAACAAGATCATCAGAAGTTTAGGAACCAGTGGTCAAGAGTATTTGCAGGTAGTTTTTAGGTACAATGTAAGAGAAAGGAATTACTGAAAGGTAGAAGAGTGTTGGTTTGACCTTATTAAATAATGGATGGGAGTGAATGAATGGTGTATATAAGCTGAAAAAGAATGAATCAAAACAATAATGGACAGACAGAGTAATGGATGTACAGTATTTGCACAAAAGTGTTAGTTGCATAGTTTATTATATTCATGGGGAAGCACTAAACTAGTATGGGTCATACAGCAGTTGCACAGTTAAAGAGATATGTGAAGCAGACTACTTATTTAATAGAAGATGCAAAATAGACGCTTTAATGTATATACAGTGGAACCTCGGTTTTCGTGATTAATTCATTCCAGGAAGTCTGACAAAAACCGAACAGTATGAAAACTGAAGCAATATTTCCCATAAGAAATAAAGTAAATCCAATTAATCCATTCCAGACACCCAAAAATATTACAAAAAATACATTTTATAGAAAATAACTATAGTTTTACATACAGAAAACAATGAGAAATAAATATAAATGACTAATGAAATGGATAAATGAACATTTAACATCACTTTTACCTTTATTGAAGACTCTTGTTAGCATATGGAAGATGGTGAGGAGGGGAGAGAGAAGAGAGGTTATTGTTTAGAAGGGGAATCCTCCTCCATAAGGACTTCAGGTATCAAGGCCCTACCCAGGGTTACTTCCCTTCTTTGTCTTTTACTGGCAAGATCAGCCATGCATACGCCACTTTCATACTTTGCTACGAGTTCTTTTTTGAATTCTATCGTGTTTCTCACCTTCTTTATCAAAGGGCTGGCACTCGGAACTTTCTTTGGCCCTATGGTGGCTTATTTAGCAGTCGCACTCAATAAATAAGCACAAAAAAATAATGGATTATTACGAAATGTTTCAGATGAACGCGTGGGGTAATGCTCACTCAACGAAAAACAAAGCCAGACTGACTCAGAACGCACAGGATGCTTTGTGTGGGCCTGGGCAGGCAGATATGTTTAGTATGGCGGACTACGAAAACCAAGTGGATGTACGAAAACTGGGACAAAATTTCAAGGAAAAAAAGTCATCGAAAACTGAATCCTATGAAAACCAGGGCATACAAAAACCGAGGTTGCACTGTATAATTACTCTGACCAAACCAATAAAAACAGATGGATTGTTCAATACATATTAAATGAAAGAAAAGATACAGTACTGGTATACCTTGTACTCTCTGTCCATTAGGTCCCATCATAGGCATCATCATCTGTCCACCAGGTCCTGGCATCCCTGGCCCTCCAGGACCCATCATGCTTGGTCCTCTTGGTCCCATCATTCCAGGTCCCCCATTATGCCCTGGGCCCATCATACTACCAGGACCTCCAGGACCCATCATGCCAGGACTGCTCATGTCTCCATGACCCATCATAGGCCCCTCACCCTGTGGTTTAAACATAAGTTTTAGTAACATTTTTCTTCCCCAAACATCATACATGTATTCTATAAATTGTTTAGACATAATGATTAATGTTAATTATGTCTAATAAAGAAATTATCATCAAAGTAATTAATGTTAATCATTAAATTGATATAATTATCTAAACTACTTAATTTTATTACTTGGCTGTTTTTTAATGAATCTTAAATATATCATTATAATAAATCAACTTATATCTTTTGTTTAAAATATGCATAAATTATATTTTTCATAGGCAGAGCATATCAATGATGAAGATAGATAATAGAGGCACTCACCATGGGTCCCATCTCCCCACCAGGTCCTCCCATAGGTCCACATGGACCCATGGGTCCACCAGGCCCCATGGGACCATTGGCCATCATAGGGCCATTAGGAACCATGGGACCTTTCATATGGCCTCCCTTGTTGCCCTTGACAACTAAGTTGTTCAACCACTGGGCAGGATTATGGCGGACAAACTGGGTGGTCTTCAGAGGGTGTTTCTGTATAAACATAGAGATATCAATACTACTGCCTGCAGTAAGTATTCACTACATAGATTTATATATTTTTTTTTCAATGAACTGGCTGTATCCCACCAAGGCAGGGTGACCTAAAAAGAATAATGAAAGTTTTTCTTTTTAAATTTAGTAAATTATACAGGAGAAGAGGTTTTACTAGCCCCTGGCTCCCAGCATTTTAGTCACCTCTTATGACACACATGACTTACAGAAGAAGAATTGCAGATAAATGGTTCAAAGAACCAACAAGTTGATGAATTAGACACAAGTGCAACACTTGGGTATTTTCTACTTTCCCTTGGAGATGATTTGTATATACATGAAGATATTAATACTATTATAGGTAGTAGGTTGGTAGACAGCAACCGCCCAGGGAGGTACTACATTCCTGCCAAGTAGGTATAAAACGAAAGCCTGTAATTGTTTTACATGATGGTAGGATTGCTGGTGTCCATTTTTCTGTCTCATAAACATGCAAGGTTTCAGGTACATCTTGCTACTTCTATTTACACTTAGGTCACACTACACATACATGTACAAGCATATATATATACACACACCCCTCTGGGTTTTCTTCTATTTTCTTACTAGTTCTTGTTCTTGTTTATTTCCTCTTATCTCCATGGGGAAGTGGAACAGAATTCTTCCTCCGTAAGCCATGCATGTTGTAAGAGGCGGCTAAAATGCCAGGAGCAAGGGGATAGTCCCCCCTTCTCCTGTATAAATTACTAAATTTAAAAAGAGAAACTTTTGTTTTTCTTTTTGGGCCACCCTGCCTCGGTGGGATGTGGCCAGTTTGATAAAAAAAAAAAAACTGTGTGTAGTGTTAAATATATACATCTGTATAACCAGATAGTGTGTAAATAACACTGCTACATCTATATATGAAAGAATGACTGCTCAGACTAGTACCCTAGTACTAACCAAAGTGCAATGACAGACTGGATCAGGCCCTAACACTTGATGCAGAACAGTTTCTTAAGAAAATATAAACACAAAATTAATTTAGTGCTTTGTGCAATCAAAAAAGCACTAAGAAACACAGAGCTTACAAGGCAGTGAATGCTGCTACTAGATACATTTTCAGGCCATGCTGCTCATTTGACAGATCTTTCAAAAATGTTTGGCTCGAGTTTCTTTGAAAGAACATGATATTGATTTAGCCAATGTATCAAAATTTTATACTTTATTTAAGAGATACTATTATACAATACAAAAAAATGGTAGAAAGCCACTTGATGCAGAGCAAACTTCTATTAAAGACTACATTTCACTTCTGCTACAGCTTTATCAAGTCATGATTTGATAAAACTCTACCTACAGCAAAATGTAGTCTCTGATAATAAATGTTTATAGAGTCTGCACCAAGCATCTTTCTACCATACATGTTGGCAACACCAGCTATCCTTCAATTAATGAGGAAAATGCACTAAGTCTTAAAATAAATAAAATTTCAATATACAATAATTGCTCACAAAAGGAAGTAACATTAGATATTGTACACTGAAAGCTGCAAAGAGAAATATTTACCTTAAATGTGTCAATCACTTCAAAAGCTTCAATGTAGTCTTACAAGTTACAAGAAACTTTAGTAATTATAATACAGTGGTCCCCTAAGTTACAATGGGCTTGAATTACAATATCTTTCTTTCTTTCAACACACCGGCCGTATACCCTCAAAAAAGGAATTTAGTTTTGAGTTGTGATGAAAAATTTGAGATAAGATATGCGTACAATGGTCAGCACGTGGGTGGGCCTCACACAACCAGCGATACAGCAGCTCTTCTCTTGGGCAGCATCTGAGCCAATAGGAGTGTCAGTAAGGATGGCTTAGCAGCCAATCAGTGATGAGAATGAATGTCCCTTTTGGTAGCATCTCAGTCAATAGCAGTGTTTGTAATACAGTTTATTGTTTCTTCTTCAGTTTGAAGCAACCATGTGTGCTGCATACACCAACTCTGGATTATTTACCCTTCATAATTGCATCTGTGATTTAATTATGCTATCTTTTGCATTACCAAGTTATTTTGCCCCATAAAGTGCAAGCACAAAATTGTGTAAAAAACACGATCGACTTAGAATTAGTGTATTGATGCATGAATATGATAACATTCCACAATCAACCATCTCTACTATTATGAAGCAAAAAGTGGCATGAGAATCTAAGCCAGTGAAAGACAAGGCAGAGAAATTATCACAGAGATGGAAAGACTGTTATTATTGTTGATAAGAGAGAAGCAGATAAAAGAAGATACAGTGCCTGCATGTTATACCTGTAAGCAAGCAAGCCCAAACTAAAATAGAAGTTGTACATGTATAATAAGTCTTCTGGAATGGATTACTACTATAACTCAAGGGACTGCTGTACTATAAACTGGCTTTTAACCCTTAAACGGTCCAAACAAATCAATGTTCAAATTCGTAGTGCTACAAAAGTAAATCTACTTTTTTTTACATATTTTCAAATGTAACAAAAAAAATGTAGATAAAAAAATTTTTTACACGCTTTCAAATGTAAAACAAAAAGAAGATCTACATTTTTTTACATACTTTCAGATGTTGAAAAAACGTATATATATGTTTGGACCATTTAAGGGTTAATTAATAGTAAGCCAACATTGCAAATTTTTTTTTTAACACATCAGTCATTTCCTACTGAGGCAGGGTGACGAAAAAAAAAACTTTCATTATCATTCAACATTTTCACCATCATTCATACAAAATCACTGTCTTTGCACAGGCGATCAGATATGACAGTAGATGTCACTTCAAATAGCCAATATCCCAAACCCCTCCTTTAAAGTGGAGGCACTGTAGTTCCCATTTCCAGAACTCCAGTCTTGCTAACCAAAATATATTTTTTTAATTTTGTTTATAGATTTCACCATTTTAATTCTTCTTCTTCTTTCAACAAACTGGCTGTATCCCACCAAGGCAGGGTGGCCCAAAAAGAAAAACAAAAGTTTCTCTTTTTAACTTTAGTAATGTATACAGGAGAAGGGGTTATTAGCTCCTTGCTCCTAGCATTTTAGTTGCCTCCTATGACATGCATGGCTTATGTAGGAAGAATTCTGTTCCACTTCCCCATGGAGATAAGAGGAAATAAACAAGAACAAAAACTAGTAAGAAAATAATAAAAAAAAAATATGCTTGTACATGCATGTGTAGTGTGACCTAAATGTAATTAGATGTAGCAAGGTGTACCTGAAATCTTTTATGTTTATGAGACAGAAAAAAGACCCCAGCAATCCTACCATCATGTAAAACAATTACAGGCTTCCATTTTACACTCACTTGGTAGGAGGGTAGTACCTCCCTGGGCAGTTGCTGTCTACCAACCTACTACCTAAATTATTATAATTATTATTAATTAAAAAAAAAGAGCCAAACTTGAATGGGTTACATAGCTTTTACCACATTAAAGGACTGGTACAATACCTCTAGTAATTTCTTTGTCCCGGGTTGAGCACAGTGAAAGGCGATGATATTATGAAAGGATCCTTGTATAACAGCCTCCGCAGCTTTGTTGGCCAAGTGGGTAGTGAAGACGAAAATCTGGCTCTGTTGCTGCATGTACTGGGCATCACTGGTTGACACTCCTGCCCCTGACCCGCCCTTCACCCCCATGCCTCCCATGCCCGCACCCAGAACACCCCCGTCCCCTCCATCTGCAAAGAGTGTAAGTTTGAATATTAGTAAATGATCTATAAGAATGTCAATGTATTCAAATGAGTCTGGTGTTTTATAAAAAATGTAATACAGTACAGATAAGACTAGGTTGGAAAACATCATCTGCTAATTTATTTATAAATTTAATACATGTTATTTTCTTTTAAAATGGCAGGATTATTTTTATTTACCAGTATAAAATTCAGTCATCACTATAATTTTATTGAAAATACTGTACTGTATTTACTCTCACTGTAGTCCAGTTAATTTAATTTTTACACTAGACAAATTAATAATGGATATAAAATATATTTTAGTTCATTAAAATAATTTCCACACCAATTAGGTGGCAAGATGGTATACTATACAATATCTAGTGAAAACCAAATACTGTACTGTACAGGGATTAGCAAGTAAGAACCTACTAAACAAATTAACATTTCCTGCTTTAAAAGGACATACTGAGAGGAAACTAATCAACAAATAACTAACAAGAAGACATTCATATTTCAGTGAACTGTACAGCAGCCAATATAGCTAATGGCTAGTTTCTGATATCCGGATTATTTTTTCTCAAGTGCATTCAGCAGTACCACTCTTACTAAGCAGTAAAAACAATGGCAGGGAAACTCCATATCCACTAAATAAGACTGTTGCACATCCTGCAGTTTGTTCTATTTTACAAATTCATTCAAGATTGTTATCAAGGTGTACAATGATCCAGGACAAACTGAAAAGCAGTGCAACTTTCTTCTTCAATGTGCAGGTTCCAAACACAGTATTGTAACTTTCATATTTATGCATAAGGACACAATATGTAGATCAAATTTTTATTAGGACTATGTTTTACTCAGAGGAGAGCTTCATGATAAATCTATGAGTGACTTTTTCAGTTCTAATGAAGGCCTGAAGCTACCATGAGTAGCAAAATTCATTTAATAAATGTCCTGAACTGTACATAGTCTTTTTTCCACAACCTGAGCAAAACGTCCCAGTAAATACTTGTTCTGTAAACAGTGTCTTTATACTAATACTATAGGAATTATGCTGTTACATACACATCTATACTTTTTAACCATTTTATAACACCGTGCCGCCTCCATATCTGATATTTTATTCTCAGTTCCCAGTTTCTTTCTTATAAAACTTAGCGGTAAATTATTTTATTTCGCTGGTAAATTAACTTCCAGTAAGGGTATTCAACACACATACTCTTGACTACAATTAAGGTATTAATAAAAAAATTGTGTATGATAATAGTACCTTTGCTTGACTCACATTATATACAGTACTGTATAAGGCTCAACTATTTAGGTACATATTTCCACTATGTAGACACAATGCAAGGTATGCATGATATCCTACCTGCTGTGTGGAGTTGGGGTAGGGAGACCCCATCCAGGCTGCCAACTCCTGCGCAGACACCCGCCACTTTAGCCCCGTCACCATCACCAATAACGTTACAACCTGCCGGCACCATAGGTACCCATGCTCACCATCCCAAACTCACTAAATATATTGGCAATAATTTTCTGCCCACACATATATTTTCAAGTTTAAGTTTCTTGTTTTTCCCTAATAAATTTCAAAATAGCATCTTCACTCATTTTTTTGGATACAGTGCCAACATGTACAACTATTACAGTGCCAACATGTACAACTATTACAGTGCCAACATGTACAACTATTACAAAGTCACATCATTCACAATGTGTATGTTTTAGTTTTCTTTGTTATTCTCTGCTGCTAATTTAGATACAGAATATGATCATTAATAAATCCAGTAAAGATATTAATAATCCTTACTTCATATAAAATATGAATGCAGTACTTGCTATTTTTATTATCCCTTCTCTTTTTTTATTTCTAAAATAATGAAAAAGGATTCGAGGAAGATTATGAGATACTGTATACACAAAATACAACCATTCAAAATAAAAGTAGTTAAAGAAATAATAAATTACAGTGTAGAGGCAGAGGAGCATTAATGTTGTGTTAAGTTAATTTGCTTACCTTCACTAGTATGTGGCGGAGTGGTGGTGGTGGTTGTGGAGGTAGTTGTTGTGGTGGTAGTAGTGACAGTGGTAGTGGCGGTGGTAGTTGATGTCGTAATAGGTTTTATATCTCCTTCTGGGCCTCCATTAGCTATTTCTGTTTTAACCTGTTAAATAATTTATGATGTTAATACTACTGCTACATCTGTTATGTCATCAAGGAGGAACTTTACTACTGTATAGTAATAATGTATGTTAAATAAACAATATTATAAACAGTTTATTATGGCTTTAAAAACAATGCACATTAATGGCACAAATCTGAAGATTTTATTGTCATTTGTAGTTCATGAAACAAACATCTAACCCTTGTACTGTCAGTCACATAAATCTATGTCACATAGATCTATATCTGGGTCTGTGCACTGGGGGTGCAATGTATAAAAATTAATCCTGCCCTATGTAGTGCGTGATGGGATCAGTTAACCTCTGTCACTGTGTTTGGGTTACAATAGTACTATGACTGAGACGCATTCTTGATTGGTTATGTTTTAATGGCTCTTTCTTGGGGCAAGTTGATAGCCCAGAAGAAATACTGGTGAAACAGAGAAGACTTTGGTCAGTGCCAGACAGGTAATGGCTTGAAATAGGTCTCAAAATGGCAGAAATACTGTATTTAAATTTTGTCAAATTTTCTTAGGACGTTTTATGGGTTTTTACTAGATGTCCTTCATTTATTGGGATGGCCTAAACCATGACCAATCATCCTTGATTATATTTTATGTGAAAAATAGGAAAAAACTTTATTTTTTTTGTCTGATGATGGATTCAAAATAGAGGGCAAGTGTCATATACAAGAGGCCTGGGATGTGATGAGGAACAGAGGAATGTTGCTTTAGTTCCTGTAATGCCGACAGTGTTTATTATAAACTATGTTTATAAATTGGCCAAATTACTGAATACTGTGCACTACACTGATAGTTCTGAAAGTTGAATGGACAGTTTCTTGCACTCGGTTGACAGAATGAAAGGCATATAGCCAGGAATCTGGTTGATTGGAGCAATGGTACTGGCCTAAAATAGGCCTGAAAATGAGCAAAATGACTGATGCTTTAACTGTCTGCAGACCGCCAACTTCACACCTACATAATTTCACAAAATCACTGATGTTTTAATTGTCCGGAGATCACCAACTTCGCACCTGTGTAATTTCATAATTTTATCATCAGATTTTTCATTTCAAGTGTTGTTGCCTTCATGGTGTCCTGTGGCTGTGTTGGTACTCAGTTCACATACTGAGTGTCTGTGGTTTGATCCCTGGTATGGGTGGAAACGTTGGGTATGTTTTCTTATATCACCTGCCCCTGTTCACTCAAATAGGTACCTGGGTGTTAGTCAATTGTTGTGGGTCACATCCTGGGTGTGACAATATACTTTAGATAGGGGAGAGCTCAATACATATAGGTCATATAGTGCCTGGGGGAATGAGAGGCACTCGGGTTTGATCCAAAAAAGGAAAGGGCAGGTTCAATTCCTTGGATCAAGAGCTCACTGGCATCAGGGAACCTTCTTTGTGGAAGGTGGGGGGGATTAGAGAAACAAAGGTAGTAATAACAATTACTTCCCTTGTCTTCATTTTGTAGTCCCAGAATGTACAGTTTAACATGTGCACTCTTTACCTGTTTTAACATGAATCAGAATATACATCGCAGTGTTTAGTGAATCTGACACTCAAGAGTACAACACTGGTGGACAAATGGAAGCTGCTGCTGTGGCCCATCACCTACAACACCTTCACCTTTATCCTTAGATATACAGTGAACCCACTAATTAACAGACTAATGGGAGGGAGAGGGTATTTGTTATTGCTGACTGTTCATAGATTCAAATTACAAAAATAATTTTTTCATGATTGCAACATAATCTGAATCAGCCCACTGATTCATAAGACTATTGGATACTAAGAATACAGGTATTGGAAATAAAAATGAAGTTGAAAGTGCAGTACTGAATAGCAATTTTATAATAATTCACATTAATTTTACTTACCTGTTAGTGGTAGATAGATGAGATGTAAACTTCTTTCTAGGACTAACTGTTGAACCTTTATCACCAGCATCTACACTAAACTTAAGAGCAATCTGTAAACTCATCCTTACTGCTAATGATATCAGATACTGTTTCTTAATACCATATTCCTCACACATCTGTGCCAGCAAGGCACCACACTTCATCTTCAAGTTTCTGCTTAACACTCAGATTTACTTAGTTTCCTCTTGGTACCACCACTTGCTCAAGAATCCATTGTTAATTGCACTTTACTTTAAATGTTAGTAAAGTCACATAAAACACAGTAAATCTGGGAAAATCAGAGACTGTATGATAAGTGTATGTGTGAGTGAGCACAGACATTAAACTGACATAGGCAACCTATGGTTTGGGAAACAACGAAAACAAGACGGGTTCGGAAACACTGGATTGCGTCCAATGATTCAGAAGGACAAAATCCTGAATCCAGACTTATCTACATATTTTGTCTGATAATTTTAAAATTTGCCTGGTCATTTTTTTTTATCCATAGTTTATGAAATCCGTCAGGTGGGGGTCTGGAAACATTGACGTATCCTTTTATAACAATGACCTATGTTAGGTGATTTTTCCCTGGCAAACTAATGAGTGTTCAATTAAACTACACCTCACAGGTATGTGAAACTGCCATACCTATAGCCACTATCTATGGTTCTCTTACCCTTGCAGCCCTGTCTAGGGCTTGATACCTGAAGGATGTTTGCTGAGGGTCAATGCCCTCAGGGCCTAGTCCCAGATCAGGCCTAGTGGTGGATGAAAACATGATCAACCAGGATGTTACTGCTGGCCACACATGGTCCAACATACACACCACAGCCAGGCTGATGAGACCTTGTATTCTGGGATTGCATAAAATGAGAAAAAGGTACAAATTCCAAACAAAGGCAGAATAGACTAAAAGAGGTCATTCAATAAACTGACCTTGGCAGTAGTTCCTGCTTTGTTATTATTATTGGCATTGGTGTTGTTGTTATTGTTGCCGGGGCAGGTGGAGGCAGTTTTGGACACTGGATCATCACCATTGAGACAGGGCGTAGTGGCAGTTGCAGCATCGGGGTCGGGCTTCACCTCTGCGCCCACTTCTTGCTTGATGGTTGCGGTTGGGATTTGGGCAGCATGTGTGTTGTTGGCTTTGCTCCGCCTCCCACCACCACTTGTTGTTTTCACCACACCACCGCCTTCTTCCTTCACCCCCCCGCCTGCACCCCCACTTCCCTGCTTCACTGTACCACGCATACCCCTGCAACCACATATACAAACTGCAACTACATATTTAAAACCTGACAACAAAATGAAAAATATTAAATAGTATTACCATGGTACACAGTAGGGAATAATGTAATTTTAAAGCACTAACTATTGGTCTAAAAATGTTATAACTTTACTGAATATTTTTACTAAATGTTTCTACTAATTTTTTTTTTCAACAAACCAGCCGTATCCCACCAAGGTAGGGCGGCCCAAAAAGAAAAACTAAAGTTTCTCTTTTTAAATTTAGTAATTTATACAGAAGGGGTTACTAGCCCCTTGTTTTTACTAAATGTTTCTACTAAATGTTTATAAGTTTTTTAAATTAGCAATAAAATAAATTTCAACATATAAATCAAAGGTAGGAAGTTCCAGCTGCTTAGGTATGGAAAGAATGAAGAACTCAAAAGGAACATTATACAGCCTCTCGCCACTTAGCGACGTACTCGTTTACCGATGACTCAGACTTACAACGGGCTCTCTGACCAGTATGCATACTTAAATAATGTATATTAGAGCTGATTTCCTCTATTCTGTTTATTACAATATACAGTACACTACTGTATGAACATTTAAAAATATAATAAAAATGTTGTAAATGGAACAAAGATGACATTCAAGTAATATCAAAGATGGTTGACATAAACCCACTACCATTATAGTATGCTCCTCGTTTAGCGACGAATTCGTTTTGACACGATATTAGGAATGGAACTCCATTGTTAAGTGAGGAGAGGCTGTGTACAAAACTAAGAGGGTCACCAAATAGAACGAAAGGAATACGTAAAAGACTTGGGAATAATTATGTCAGTTGACCTTTCTTTAACCCTTTCAGGGTCCGTCCCATAGATCTACGGCTTTACGGTGAGTGTCCAAACCGTAGATCTATGCCATGAGCTCAGCTCACTCTGATAAACTGTGAGTGGTACATTTGGGCCTAGATATGAGAGAATACATCTATGTGGTATGTGTGCACCACATAAAACAGATCCTGCAGCACACTGTGTATAATGAGAGAAAAAAACTGAAATCATGATTTTTCGATTAAAACAGCAACTTTGCAGTGTTTTTTCGTATGTTTTTTATAGTTGTATTTGCGATTTCTTGGTCTCATTTGATAGAATGGAAGACATATTACAGAAATAGAGATGATTTTGATTGGTTTTAGCACTGGAAATGGCTTGAAACTGAGCTCAAAGTAGCAGAAATGTTAAATTTTTGCCGATATTCAAGAGTAAACAAATGACCTTACACATCTAATACACGTCAGCTGGTGGGTCTAATATACATTCACAAATATGGTGATGATATTTATACAATTATTACAGTATTGCATAACAGTAAATCTTCTATTTTTTGGTGTGAATAAAATTCATTATGTGAATAAAAAATCAAAATGAAATTTATTTGTAAAGCCTCAAAACATAACTAATGAACAGAGGAAATGTTAGTTTAGTGCCAGGAATGCCTACATTGTTTATTCTGGACCCTATTTTGAAATTGGAATATTTTGAACTTTGTGTTAAATTGGCCAAATTAACAATTTCCGATCACTTTATTTTGTAGTTGAAACAGTTGAGTTGGCGATTTCTTGTGCTCAATCGATAGAATAGAAGTAATACTAGTGAAATAGCTAAGAATTTGGTTGATTGGAATAATGTAATTGGCCTAAAATGGGAGTCAAAGTCGGCAAAATCGCCGATTCGTAAATATCGCTGACACATCAAAATTCGCGAGAGCATAATTTTGTCAATTTTCCACCAAATTTCGTACTTTTTGTTTTATTACCTTCACAAAAAGATTCTCTACGATTTCATAAGAAAAAATAACAAATTTTTTTTTTTTTAAATTCTTGGACACTGGTGCGTGACTCCAGATTTGGGCCTTGGACCCTGAAAGGGTTAAAGACCATAACAAGAGAAAGATCACAACAACGGGAACATAACAGAGTGGGTACTGAGAACTTTCAAAACAAGGGAAATAATGCCAATGGTGACACTCTTCAAATTACTAGTGCTCCCTCATTTAGAATATTGCTCAGTGCTGACGGCCCCGTTCAAAGCAGGAGAAATATCAGAGCTGGAATGAATACAAAGATCGTTGAAGGCCCACACTGAGCCTTAAATGCTTTCAAGTCTTGAACATGTACTAATTATAGAGGAGAAAAAGATAAATGATAATATATACCTGGAAAGTACTTGAGGGCCCTGGTCCTAAATCTGCACACTGCTATAATAACATGCTGGAGTGAGAGATATGGGAGGAAGTGCAAATTGAACCCAGTGAGGAGCAGGGGTGCAGTGGGGACAATAAGGGAACACTGTATCAACATTTGGGGTCCCAGATTATTCAACATTTTACCAGAAGATATCAGAAACACAGCTGGAACAAGTGTAGAAGCCTTCAAGAGGAAACTGGACAAGTATCTTCACCAGGCGACAGATCAACCAGGCTGTGATGGATATATGGGGCAGCAGGCCTCCAGCAGCAACAGCCTGGTTGACCAAGCAAGCACCAGACAAGCCTGGCACATGGCCGGGCTCCGATAGTGAAACTCTTGAAACTCTTCAAAGATATATCAAAGGTAAAGGTATATCCATAGGGAATATACAGCGCCTGAAGGAATGGGAGGCATTCAGGTTCAGTCCAAAAGGGTGTATGTACAGGTGTCAGTAAAATGTATTCAAATATGGGGAAGCACATATTACTGACAGGGCCACATGTGTGTGAGCACATATTACTGACAGGGCCACATGTGTGTGAGCACATATTACTGACAGGGCCACATATGTGTGAGCACATATTACTGACAGGTCCAATTCCTTAGATCAAGAACCCCTCCCATGAGGGGAGGTAGTAATACAGATGAATGCACTATTTTATCACATATTTTAATAAGAAGTACAGTATTCTACAGGGTGATAAGGGACTGACTTCATATTATTTACTGATCACTTACTCAAGAAAACATGATTCAACTTTCTTAAGACTGATTGGCATGCTAAAATGTGCCAATCTTATATCACATAACTTGGACGTATGAATGAACATAGATGGAACTGCACATGAAAAGTGTGCAGGTGTAAACAGGTAAGTGTCTAGTAGTATGTAGAAAGACAGTATGTGCAGGCCATCAGCAGATGTGTGGACTGTCTTCAGATATGAAGAAGTTGTCTTGAAGTGTGTAATGGTATCTGCAGGTGTGTAAAGGGAAGTCTGGTCTTAGACCAGGCTGCAAAAGTAATGATTCCTGGAACCATCTACTGGTAGGCCTTGGGTAACCTTCAATGGCTCCAGAAACTTTACTTTCTCTACAACTTGAACCATTGTCCTAGTCATCAGGTTTAGGAATGAAGATGCTGGTGTTACAAGTACAGGTGTTCCTCGACTTACGATGAGGTTATGTTCTGATGAACCCGTCATAAGTTGAAAATATCATAAATCAAATATGAAGTGATATAAATAAGTAAATAAATTACTGTCACTGAATAAGTAAATAAACAAATACTTACTGTAAGTAAATACCAGTATTGAGAAGTAAATAAATAAATACACTAAAAATGTATCAGTGGTACCCCCAGTTTCAACCATAATTCGTTCCAGAAGGCTGTTCAAGTGCCGTTACTGGACAAATTTGTTCCTATAAGGAATAATGTAAATTAGATTAGTACGTTTCAGACCCCCAAAAATAGACTTACAAAAGTACTTACAATAATACACTTACATAATTGTTCAAGTTGGGAGCTGTACGAAACTCAGGGTACCATTGTATCAATAAATGTATAGTACTGTGCAGTACAGAATGTGCATCACTGCTGCACCACTGTAAAGTTGAAACACTATCATAAGTTGAACCACCATAAAGGGTAGAGTGTAGACAGCCTGTACTGTCTGCATAGACAGCCTATGCTGTCTGCCAGCTTAGTTCATATTTTGGGGCATTAAGGTGCTGCCCTCTGGGACTGTCCAGGTCAGTGGGACGCTGGTCCCACACTCTCTCACTCTCTCAGCGGCCTAGCAGCAAGACACAAGTCTTTACTAGCTCTCTCCCTCGTGGGATGGCTTTACCGGGCCATGGGCACAACACACAAGCCTGTGTACCCACCACTACATTGCAAATAAAGTAAGAAGCCTCTGAAGACGTATCATTTACTCCCCATTACCAGCATTACCAAATAATCTCGTTATTTAGAGCATCTATACCATGTACATGTATGTTGTTGATCATCCAGACTGTGGTGCCTACATAGGACTGCATATAGTGAGCATCAACTACCTGACTAATCAACTGGCAATGGGTTACTGTGTATGGTAGGTGTATGAAGGTATGTACACAAAGGTATGGGAATGTATCCATGAGTGACAAGGAAGACTTACCTAGCTGTGCTGATATTGTCTTATGTGCCGCTCCTGCGGCCTGCTAGCTCGGGTCGTCTCTCGGTTCCCGCTGCCAACATCTGCAACAAACACCACACTTAATATTGCTCACTGTGATTGACAAAATGCATAATTTGGTGGAGGAGCAACAAGTTTTCATCCACCAAACACATGAACTCACACAATTCACACAGCTTTACTTTGTAAATACAAGTACTAAACCCTTATGAGTTTAGTACAGCCTCTCCACACTTAGCGACATACTCGTTTACTGACAACTCGGACTCAGACGGGCTCTCTGACCAGTATGCATACCTAAATATGTATACTAGAGCTGATTTCCTCTATTCACTTTATTACAATATACAGTACACTACTGTATTAACACTTAAAAATACACCAAAAATGTTATAAATGGATGACACAAACCCACTACCATTATAGATGTTCCTTCTTTAGCGATAAATTCGTTTACCGACGTAGTCTTTAGAACAGAACTTCATAAGTAAGTGAGGAGAGGCTGTACAGTGGTACCTCGAGATACGAACAACTCAAAACGTGAACAATTATGTAAGTGTATTTATGTAAGTGCTTTTGTAAGTGTATTTTTGGGGGTCTGAAATGGATTAATCTAATTTACATTATTCCTTATGGAAACAAATTCGTTCGGTATCTGCACTCAAACAGCCTTCTGGAACGAATTAAGTTCGTATCCTGAGATACCACTGTACTTGTATTTTAATGATAATAGTACTTATTAATAAGTTACACAACCCAGGTCAATGTGGCTTTAAAACAAGATGTTCTCAACTCTCACATCATAATGATTTGGTGTTGGATGTAATGGAAGACAAGTAAACTTTGACATTATAAGCATGAATTTTGTAAAGACTTCAAAAAGTGAAATCATGGGTTAATAACCTACAAAATGCATGCAAAAGGAAGCTCCATCTGGTAACTTTCCATCCCAGCAAAACAATTAATTTTAGCTGTATTTGATTAACCATGGCCACAAAAATACAATAATTAAAGAAATCTCACATACATAATGAAAATCCTGTATTTTAAACTGATTCCCTTTATTTTTTTAACAATTATAATTTTTAATGAACCCAAGATTGAAATTCATCCCAAAACTGAACTCTTGGCTGTACTGCTGTACAAAACACTTTCATGAGCAGGTATGACCAGTCCCTTAGACCAAGAATTGGTAAAGCTGGTTAAAACGTGGAGTATGTGGTGGAGGTTCCTTACATTGAAGTGTTTGAAGGAAATATAACAAGGACCGGGATGCTTTGACACACACACACACACACACACACACACACACACCAGTGGGTGTGTGAGCTGTGACTCGACCTCTGCAACCACATATAGGTGAGTACGTACACACACACCTACACGTACACACACACATACACACACACACGTACACACACACGTACACACACACACACACACACACACACACACACACACACACACACACACACACACACACACACACACAGATCGATAGAGAAGAAGAACCATGGGCGGCAGCGCGGACCATTTTAAAGTTAGCCAAACAATGCTGGTGAGTTTGTCTCGTGCTGTAGCCCGGGGGGCAGGGCTTAGGAGGCAGGGGGGCGCTCGACCCCCTCCCCTAAACACTAGCCACAGCGACGATATGAAATATTTTTTTAAATCTCAGTGTAGTAATAAGTGGAGCGAACTAGTCAGAGGTAATGGAGGCAAACATCCCAATGGTAATAAGTCACTTTATCTGACCATTTTGGGTTATCATGGTGGGTAATTTACACTATATATGATAACTGTACTTATGTGTACCTGTCCCTAAATAAATCTACCACAGACAGGTGTAAAAGTGTCATTAAGCCCAAGTCAAAAATTAGTAAAGTTGGTTGACAGAAGTTAAGAGGAGCAGCCACGAACTATGACTCAACCCCTGCAAACACAACGAGATAAACACATACACACACACACACACACACACACACACACACACACACACACACACACACACACACCACAAAATACAAACAGGTCAAGTGTCTATCGACAAGTTCCTCTGACAACTAGTAATTAACAGTCTTAGAATGGTTGGGGCGTGAATGTTGTGTATGCTGGTACGATGGGGCCTACGACGCTAAAAGGGATTGAATATGGAGAGTGGCACGTTAAGAAAAGGCAGGACCAGGAGCTGACCCTCCACCCCTGCAACCACACCTGACTGCAGTATATAAGCCACTTCTCCAAGCATATTCTCTACTTTTCTCAAGATTGATGGACTCAACACATCGACTCCAGCCTGAGGGACTGACTACCCCAACTCCTCTTCTCCCACCGTTCTTCTCTGTATTGGACTGATGGAGCCAGTGGCTGGCGAAACGTTTCCTAAAGATTCCCAAATATGGCACATGTGTCTCATTCCCCACATACCTTTAACGAATTCTAAGAATCTTTCTGCTTGCCTGGTCAACCAGGCTGTTGCTGCTGCTAGCCTACATATCCATCACACAAGCAAACTTTTTTTTACTGCGTATTGTGAGGTTTTAAAAGAGTCTGGCTGCCGGTGATGCAATATTAATGAGAAGAATTAAATCAAGTACTGACGGGGAGTTTCACCGAACCAACAATAATCATAGATCGGTCGAACAATATCGTATTTTATATCTTGTTCTACTGTCTCGGATCCCTTAGTCAAAAGTGTTAGCAAATCAAGAACACCTGTCTGCAAAACTGTGCTGAGATTCATTGGTAACATTATATCTTTCAATTACTGATTCCATCAACTCTCCCACAATTGATGTTAGGCAGACTGCTTTATAATTCAAAGCCTAGTACCTATACTTAGCTTTGTAAATAGGTAGCACATTTGCCATTGTCCAATTATCCGGTTCGATGCCCGTTGTAGTGATGAGATTAGCTGATAATTTGCTAAGTTCCTGCTTACATTCCTCTATAACCCTGGAAAACAGTTCACTGCCTCCCACTCACCCAGACTTAACAGGCGAAATTATTTACAAATATTATGTTACAGTCCACAGCAGAACTGGAACCTACACACACTGCATCAGTAAACGCAGTACTTTATCCACAAGGCCAGACTCCCAAGCACCATGCTTGTGCAAAGTTATTTCATCAAATCCTGCTCTCAACCGAGCCGTCAACACTGAATGATGCCTTAAGCGAGAGAGGACAAGTGATGCGAAAAGTGTCAACATTGACACTATTTCACTTGTTTTGAAAGTTCTCATTATCCACATCGTTATTTTCCTGTTTATTTGCCTTATTGTGTTCCTCGGGAGATCAGCTGATATTATTACGCCCAGATCTCCCACTTGTTCCTTTCCTTCTATTTGGTGATGTTATTACATTTTTGTAAACAGTCTCTCTTGAGTTTTTCATTCTTCCCATATTTAAGTAGTTGAAAAAATATGTAAAAAATTAAATGAATGAAGAAAATGAGTGAGGTAGTGAAGATGAAGTTACACTGTGTGATTATACAAGATAAGTTCTTAAATGTGGTAGCCCACACTCCTCCCCCCACCTTCCCCACCTCCCACAACACACCAAAATGAGACTTCAACCCCAATAAGAAAGTAATAAGGATGGCAGCTGGACAGAACACCACGTGTGAGGAAATTTATCCCTGCTAGTGGTGGTAGTGGTGCTACCGTACTAGTGGTGCTGCCGTGCTAGTGATGCTACCGTACTAGTGGTGCTGCCGTGCTAGTGGTGCTACCGTACTAGTGGTGCTGCCGTGCTAGTGGTGCTACCGTACTAGTGGTGCTGCCGTGCTAGTGGTGCTACCGTACTAGTGGTGCTGCCGTGCTAGTGGTGCTACCGTACTAGTGGTGCTGCCGTGCTAGTGGTGCTACCGTACTAGTGGTGCTGCCGTGCTAGTGGTGCTACCGTGCTAGTGCTGGTAGTGGTGCTACCGTGCTAGTGCTGGTAGTGGTGCTACCGTGCTAGTGCTGGTAGTGGTGCTACCGTGCTAGTGCTGGTGATAGTGGTTGGTGATAGTAGTGGCGGTGGAGGGTGTTGGTGGGCGGTGGAGGTGGTAGTGATGGTGATTAGTGGTGGTGGTGGTGGTGGTCTAGACCATACCTTCCTGCTGACAGTCTGATCAGTAGTCAGTCCCTTCAGGATGAGCGACTGACCACCTCAAATACTATTTCTCCAAGGCTGATGGACTAATTACATCATCTTCATTTCATTACTACACCTGCTGCCTCTGTATTACTGAAGAAGCCTGCTGTGTAGCGAAACGTTTCAACAAGATACCCAACTATACCACATGTGTCTTAATCATCAAGGTTTGTATGTATGTCAGATACAAGAGTGAGAGAATAATGGGGCAAGTACTGTACCTTGAAGAGCAGAGTTTGTCACCAGGTAGCTCTGATTTCACTTTTCTGACTCTTTGACCGTGGGTTCAATCCCGGCCGGGGTATGGTTTTTTCTGACTATTAATCAAACTAAGGTTCGATTTAATAAAATTGAAGATACATAATTTTTTCTAGTTATTCCTCTTGTCGAAGGATTTTGCAGTCTGTATATATTACGTCAGCATTCTGTCTTCTGGTGAATTCAAGACCATGTTGCCATGACCCAGCAATTGTAAGAGGCAGGAGTGACCTGCTTTGAACCTAATTTGCCCTGGGTTGTTAAATTGTTATGGTTCGATGTATTTAGCAATCCTGCTTCTCAACACTCTTATTTTGATGTCTGACGTCAGTGCTATCGGCCTGCAGTTTTTTGTTATTGCTTTACTCACACTTTTGTAGCGAGGAACTAACTGCTTGGCTTTTAGTGACAATGCAATAATTCCTGAGTCTAAACACTGTCTCCACAGGATATTTCAGGTATGAATAACTTTTTTGAGAACATTTTTTGATGAGCATCGACTTGGATAAGTCAGGACCTGAGGTAGAGCGCTTCAACATGTACATCAATGACCTCAGCATCACGTGGTGTCTGGCTTATGTCACAATACTCTCACAACTTGATGCCACATTCATGAAAATCTCATGCGGCTTGTCAATGTTTAATGTATACGTTGGCTCACTGAATA